CCAACGATTTCCCATGTTTTCCTGCAGGATATGGCGACTTTCCCGCATATTCCCTGGAGTATCCTACGGGATCCGGGGACCGGAATGTTCGACCTGGGATAGACTCGAAACCATACCCACACCCAGACCCACTCCCACACCCTCAATCTCATCTATTGATTAAAATACTCTTTATCATGTCAATAACAACTTTATGATTATACATTTTAAATTCAACTAGTTGACTCTTAAATTTTAAAGTCGACTAGTTGCCTTTAAAAGGCAACTGGATTTTAGAGTCAATTCCGACATATATATATATATGTGTGTGTGTGTGTGTGTGTGTGTATGCTGAAATGAAACGTGAAATTCATTGAATATCATCTAACTTCAAGAAAAATAGGAAACAGGCTTTTTCGCTAAAGCGGAGCTGGAGCTGGTGTGGAGTCGGAGCGGTTATTTTTGATTCGGAGTGGAGTTGGAGCGCGAAAGGGTCGGAATTGCCCATCTCTGGTGGCAGCTAATTTTCACGATAGAAGAAAGAAAAGCGTGACAATGGAGGAGACGATCATAACAGGGACAGGGAAAAGGGTGATAACAAAACAGCCTTATAATCTTTCTCAAAAACTTTGACTAATTTATTATTTTATTGAAATCCATATCAAGTATGTATATTGATCAAAACAATACTTTCATCTCGATTGATAACACAGATGATAATTATTATCTTTTACGAAGATGCACAGACTTTACTTTGATATTTTTTCAAAGTTCGTTTATTAATTAGTCTTATTAAAACCCTAACAAAAAACAAATCTTTCATTTAATTTTGGTTTAACAAATAAAATTTACATAAGTGACCTATCGATGATTGATTTTTCATCATGAACATGCTCTCGACAAGCAACATTAACAGGTTGCTTTGGTTGTGCAAAATTTTGTTTATCAAAAGTAGCTTTTTTTCTACTGTTGAATCGCCAATTATGTTTGCTTTATCTATTGCTATATTGAACATCATTCGAAAATACTCAATTAATTCAATTTACAAATAAAAATGAGTAAAACTAACTTTTATTCTCATCCATCAGAAAGTTTGTTTCTTTTTCCAGTTACAAAATATTACTCCATTCGTTATTGATCAGATAAATAGTTGGTGTTGCTTCATAAAAATCAACATCTTCATCATCGCCACTATTTTCTAATGGCGATTGTATTGTTTCGTCATTTGTTGTTTTCCCGTTGTTTGTTCACCATCTCGAGTAGCTTCATCATCATTTTTCTCAATAAATCCAGTTGTTATTTTTCTAGTAGATGACACAAAAAACAACAAAAGAGCTAATTATTGTTGAAGAAAGATAAGAAATGCAGTTCTATGTTTCTTTGATGTGGATAAAGTTAGCACCTGATTCAAGTATATCCAACCCGGATTTGCTTCTGAATCTGTGGTGGCTCTCTACCGAGCTGTGTTAGATGTAGAATTTTATGCTTTATCGAATGGTATCTCTCAGAATGAAGCTGGTTCATTAAAAATGGGACTATAGGCGGAAATACTGAGCTACAGACAGGTTTTCTGCAGTATATATAATTCGGATTCGTTCCCAGGTTGATCAAAACGGACTCGTTTACGGTCTGTTTGTCGACGGTAAACGATGTCAAAACGGTATCTTTACGGCAGTAAATAGGCCGTATTTGCCCGTAATACCTGGCGCAGTAATACGGCACCGTAAACGGGACTGATTTTTCATGGTTTACGGCTGTTTGTGCTCCGTACTCTCATGATAATACGGTCCGTATTACTGCGCCAGATATTACGGCAAAATTTCACCCGTAAAATAGTCGTAAACTAACCGTCAATGGCCGTATACGGACCGTACTGTTCGACCTGGGTTCCTGCACCCGTGATGGGTCTCTAATTGCTTGTGTTAGATTTAGAGCTGAATGCTCTATCACATACATCTATTAGTTGTGAGATTTTATTGTTCAGTCAGGCACAAATGAGGTACAGATTCTCAGTTTTCGCTCAAAATGTTTGCCATTTTGTCAGCAGATCTTTTGCTTTGAACGAAATATGTTTTCCAAATAAATCCGGTGCGGATTCATTCATTTTACTGATTTTTGTTTTGGACAGAACCCTCTTTGCAGCCAGAAAATGGTGAATTACTAGCATATTTTTTAAAGTTGTATAAATCGCCTGTAGAAGTCCATTGCTACACAGAGAAAAATTTTCTTCCAAAATCTTCAAGGGATTTTAGCTATTTTCGTCTTTAGACTTGCGTTTGCAGCTCGAAATTATTATTTGCAAATGGGCTATATTTAAGTAAAGCCAGCACAAGAGAACGAAAGAGGAGGGTGTGATGTATACGCGAAGGAAGTTCAGATAAGCTATACTGTAAAATTAAAAGATATTCAAACCCACGGCGATGACTAGTGACATCTGGCAAATACTTTATCCATTCAGAGGACGTATGTCATTTCGTTCAATGGCGACTTCGTGTATGTACATTATCTTAACTTCAAAACTCATGTCGTCTTCACACTGTTTGGGTAAAGTTCGAGATTCTCGACGTGATCGTGTGTCAATTCGTCGAGCGACTGTGCCAGATCTTGCCAATGGAAGTCGAGGTAAAAAATGCTTTCAAATCGGTGTTGCATCATTGGAAGCCAATCTGATTTTTAGAAACACACGTCTTATTCGATGCAGTCAATGTTCAAGATTATGACCGGGGTAAATAATTATAAAACGATTGTATAAATTCATTCTATTGAAATTCATTTTAGTTCTTGATCTTCTTCAATCAGGCGTCGATCCATGTATATCTGATAGATATGGTCGTACTCCATTACATGTTGCCTCAACAAAGATGAATGCAGCAATAGGTAAATTTTTATGAAAACAAAAAGAGATCATTAAATCATATTTATTTATTTCTTAGCAAAAGCACTCATTGATCATGGTGCCAATTTTAATGCTGAAGATTCACTTGGTAATACTCCATTACATTTAGCTTGTATTAGTAGTCGATTAGCAATAGTTGGTATTCTTCTTCGTGCTGGCGCAAATTTATCATCAACAAAAAGTCGTTCAACACCATTGACTATTGCGTTAAGTCGTTTGCAATCAATGATGAATGAAAAACGAACTATAGCATCACCAGAAATAAAAGCTGAAATTATTGAAGTTTGTAAAGTATTTTTTAATGTTTCCAAATTGTTAATCTCTTATTTTCTATAGCTTATTCATTTACTTAAAAGTCGTGCATTACAAAAAAATGAAACGTCATCTATATCGGATCTTTGTAAACAATTAGAGAATTTAAATTCATCAGTATCTGAAGATTCCACATTAGATCTTTCTCTGTTTTCTAATTTAACAATTTCTATATATAAAAATGTACAATTGTAGATAGTAATGCCAGCAAAAAAGAAAACACAAGACGAACAACAATCTAATACAAAAAAAACACTCTTTCTCATACGTCATGGTCAATCAATTTCGAATCGAGATTATGATGAATCGAGTGCTTATCGTGATGCCGGCTTAACTGAACAAGGTATTAGCCAAGCAAGAGCTCTACACAAAGAACTTGAAGAATTAGAAATCGAACTTGCTGTTGTCAGTCCTCTAACACGAGCACTTCAAACATGTCAAAATGCTTTACCACCGTCGTATGATGGTCCAATTATTGTTCTACCAGAAATTGCTGAAGTTTGTTCATCGCATTACAGTTGTGGACAAAAACGTAGTGTTATCCAACCAAAGTTTCCCACTAGATTTGATTGGTCTAATGTTCCAATGGATGATGTTTGGTGGTGGCCATATGATCAGAAACATGCTTCTGAAACGCATGACTATCAAACAAAACGTATGCAAAAATTTCGTCATTTTGTTCAAGCACGACCTGAAACACGTATTGCGGTATTTTCACATGGTGACTATTTATGGGAATTTTTAGAAGGCGGAAGATCGTATCCAGCTAATTGTCAAGTGATCACATATAAAATGTAATGGATCTTGTCCTTTTTTGAATATAGTCAATAAATATACAACTTTGGTGCTTTCATAAAAATTCAATTGAAATAAAAACGATTTACATTTTGAATTAAACTTCGATTATTCTTTATAGTAAATAAGTATAGGACTCAACTTTCTTTCATGTCCATGATAAATGATTACATAGTAAATCTAATATTCAATACGAAAAATTCTCAATGTTTAAATCGAACGGATATATGTGTTCTTTCTATAAATAAGAGAGATAATACATTTTCGATATATTTCTATGAAAGTATTTCAATGAAAAATATTTAGTTTGATTATTTTTCGAGTAAGAAAGAAAGAGAATAACATTCTATCGTTATTCATTCAGTTCTCACTTTTAGAAAGAATGAATTTTTCACGTCTAAGAAATCTTTGAGATATTTTTATGATTTATTCATTTAATCAGCGTATAAGTATTTATCATTATATTTAAATGAGTACTTTGAAATAGAAGACATCCTTTGAATATTCACAAGAATTAACGTATCACATGAAAATTGACAATTACATTTACTGTCGATCTTAAATGTTTTTAGAAATTGCGCTTATTTTTATTATGAAACGAAATGTTTTACGATTTCCATTATTTGATTGACGTTGAATTCATTTGCAATAAAAAACAGATGCAAGTGATTTAAAATAGTATGTGCTTGAGATTCTATTCTATTATTTTCTTTGTATTAAGTATAATTGTGAACATCTGTCATTATCCAGGTGAATGAATCCAACAGTGAATCTCATGAGATCCGACAAGCCGAAAAAATCCGATCGGATTTTGGGTCTAGGATCTACTAACGGATACGACGGAAAAAAAACATTTTCTTAATCGCCAATGAATAAGCATATGGTGACAACAGAACACATGAGTCGAATGCTTATGTTGGATTCCGTTAAATTCCGATACTGAAGCCTATCGGATTCCAACATTATGGTTCCGATTATAGGTCCCACACCGGGATTCCGATAGGATTTCGTCGGTTTAATGAAATTCATACTATATCCGATAAGATCCTACTATCGGAATCATTCGCCTGGGAAGATTCGATCCTAAGATGTACTGAATGAGAACCGAATATGTTGTCAAATACTCATCGAAATGAAACAATTCAAAGAAACAAAAGAAGTAATTCAGCTTGGAAAGTCGATATTCGGTGAGTCATATAGAATATAAAATAGTTAATTACTCACATGTTATTTTAAGCGAAGAACAAATATTAGCTGAAATGGTCGTTTACAACCGTGCATCTTCCACCAAAGATTCTTGAACATTAGCAAAATATGGAAATTCATAAAAGATTTCTACTGAATTTGCCTACACATAGTATCTATAAATTGGAAGTGACCATGGCATTTTATATTACGCATACATCAATAGCGAGCTAAAAGCAGCTCCAATGAATGATGCACTAGTCGATGTAGGACATTTTTAAATTGCTATAAACATTTATTTTTATTCTTTCAGTATCTGTATGGATCTTAAAAAATAGAAGCTGTTGAAACTTTTCTTTTTTCTCAGTTTTTATATTTTTCTCAAAGACAAGGCTGTAGATCGAATGTGTCTTTCTGATTATGGACAAAACTATTTGATGGTGCGATGAGCTCAACATTATATATTTTATTTCTTCTAGGCATGTCTATATAGAATGTATATTTCTTTTATGGATGGCATTGTATATAGACTGCAACTTTTTTCATGAGACAGAATTTCTAACAGATCAAATCATTTTAGATGGTGTTTTGTGTTGAATGAAAACTTCGTATTTAAAATTATTTTGAAAAATTGTCTCACAATTGCCATTCTCTCTCTCGTTCACATGAAAACTTGCCAAATCTTTACCTACGAATTCAAAGATTGAATAACAATGTTGATATCTGTTCTCATTGTTACAGTAGTAATAAACTTTCCTAGATTTTAACATAAATTTCCTATCTCTTTTAATTCACACCTTCAGGAAGAAGCTAATATATCCAGATAACGTTATTAAATGGTAAATAGATTGTTATACTTCTGTTCATATGATGACTATAAGATCCAGTCAAATTGGTAAGAAAAGAAAAGAAAAGAAAAGAAAAGAATAATGGAATCATAATAGAGCTATTAAAAATAACCTATGCATCGTTCTCACAGCTGATAGATTCACGTGCTGATATGTCATCTGTCTCTTCTGAGGATGAAAAATGAAGTTTCTATACCCTCTTCGTTAAATATTTCTACTGGTGGATCATCAGTGGTGGTGCAAATTCATCATATACACCTCTTGAATAATTGAATAAGTACTAATTTATTATTTCTTAATCATTTATTGAATTATTGAATTATTTTTCAAACAAGAAAAGTTACTTAAACTTGAATTTTAGCATGAAAAAATTCTTCTTAATTAGTAGATCAGGGCAATAAAATTGGCCCTGCGAGCACCTCTGTTCTATACTTCACCAAAGATATAGAGACACTGAAAGAAAAACAAGTAATTGAAATCTCTCTAGATTAACGCAAATGATTGCAAATAAATTAAGTTTAAGTGATTCTCTGCGAGTTTCAATAATTTCTGGTGACTTTTGAACTTTTGTCTCAAACTCATCCAAACAAAATCATAAGCTTCTACTTACGAAAATCAGATACAATCAATGAGACTTTCTCCTCATGAAGCGTTTGATCTTCTCCCTGAAACGATCATAGTATATGATAGATACGCCACGGAAGAATAAATATCTCTTACTTGAAGGTGGTGTTTCATACAATGAAAGCTTAATGATCAAATATCGGTGCGGATATGTTTGACTCTTTATGACTTTCTTGCCACTTCGATGCCCTCCTTGTTCGCTATACAGTCATAGTGTGAACATAACAGACGAGAATGTATAATACATTACTGTGAGGAAAGGTTTTTTTTTCTTATTATATAGGATAGTGCATCCGATAGCTCATCTTCAATGGAAATCGCAAGAATGACAGGATTTATGAAAATAATATTCCTATTCAGTGTGACCTCTTAGTTATTAATTGATGATATTGATGATAAAAAAAAAAGATATACGTAGCAACTTAGGACTCAATATCCGTAGAGATTATTATTATAAAGTACTGGCCAAGATGACATCAGAGATGGTATTTTCCCTTAAATTTATTTTAAAATGAATTATAGAAATTTCTTTATTGGTTTAATAGATGTTGTAAATGTAAACTTATCGCCTCTTAGCATCATCTGAAACAAGTTTTGGAGTATTATTACGGCTGTCTTCCTTTTATAAAAATTCAATAAAAGAGATTTTCATGTCGATTATGTGTATGATAAAATCTCGTTGATAACTTTGCAGTCAAAAATTGTCTCTTAGTTATATTAATATTGGCAGAAATAAATTATTACGTCATATATTAGAAAAATCTCTCTAGAAAGAAAAAGCTGCATAAAAACTATACTTTTGCTTATAGTATGTTGTCACAGAAAGAGAAAAAGAAATGAGTATTTCTTGTTTTTTGCATAAACTCTCTATGTCTAACTCAATAAAATGACTGATAAGGTTTGTTGCTTCAATAGCTATAGAAAGCAAGAAAAAAGTATGACGGCATGCTCTGACAGTATTTATTGTTGATAAATTATATTTAATAGATACCATCGACACGATGTTAAAAACTTTTCTTTTTACAAAATCCCCATAATTTCAAACATCGATAGTACACTTTAGAATGACTTCAAGTGAATCAGAAGGTCGCAAAAAAAGACATCGCCAGCGTCGTCAAGGACTACAAAGGCAGCGTTCTGAAGAAATAGAAACAATAGATCTTGCTGATGTACCATCTATCGCAAATAGTAACAATTCACAATTCATTGTTATTCCAACACCAGTTGAGGTACGAGCGTATAAAAATGAAATCTTGGCAATTTTCGATATAAAAGTTTTCTCATATAAGTAGGAAAGCGAAAGCAGTGATACATCACCATTACTTGAAATTATTAAAAGAAAAAAACGAAAAGAATGGTAAGTAGAATTAACTAGCAAATCATTTTAATTGAAAAACAAAATCACTTTATCAATAGGGCTAAGGTTGTGGCACCTGTAGATGGACGTGCAATAGATAGAGTATGTATATGATACATTTTGTTTTATTAACGTATTTTATACTGTGTAAATTTATAGAAAACAGAATCAGTCCTAACACAACTGTCAAAATTGTTTTCAAAAATTCCATCACCCATTGGATTTTTACTCGATTTTATTGAACGTAAGTATAACACAACGGATCTACCGAGAAATATTGATAGGTTTGTTTTCACAAATATATTAGATCGTAATGGATATACAATACGTTCTTATTTTCAATTCGTTGTTTGGTTATTTTATTTAAATATTTTCACATTCATTCTTTGTTTTACATGTATTATAATGCCAACACTTATTTATCCCAAGCCAACGGATTTTTCTATCTATGCTATGGATCAATATTATCAAATAAACAATATATCAAAGAGTAATGAATCTTTGGGACAATGTACATTGAATGATCCTCGTTGTATAATTCTTAATACACCACTTTTAAGTCAGAAAAATGAATCCAATGATACCTGTTTGAATGACTCGTTTACTGCGGGTAGTTGTTGCTCATTACATGCAGAGGCATTTTTTGTGAATTCATCAAGTGAAGGTGAAAGTGATTGGAGAAAATTCTTGAGCGATCTTATCGATGGAACGGTACGTTTGAATTTAAATCATTCACGCTTTTCTTTTAGAGTTTTTTAAAATTAGGGTTTTTTCACTCTCAATCGAATGTATATTGGTTACTATCGAAATTTAACAAAGTCCGGTGGTGAAAATTCATATTTTCAAACTTACAATATGGGCTTGGCCGTGTTTTTGACAATATTTGCCTGCCTGCTGATAACAGGCATTATTATTATACGAAAGTAAATATTTATCATATTGATTGAAATCAGAAGATTTTGTTTTGTCGAAAAATTTAGATATGGCGATGGTATGAAAACAAGTTATGTACAAAGTGAAACATTTCAAAATAATATTTTTCAATATGTATTTGCACGATGGGATTATAGTATCAATAATAAAATTGTTGTTAGTCGACATGAACAACGTTTTAAAACCGAAATAAAAAATATTCTATTAGAATGTAATGATAAAGTCAATTTCAAATTCGATCGAGCCGTCGATAAAATATGGTTTCAAATACAACGTATAGGTCTTTGGATTATTACATTGATTATGTTTGCTGGCGCGGTTGCTGCTATCTATTTTACGAATAGATTTGCATTTCAAGTTTGTTTGAATTTTTTGACCATGTTCTTTGAGTTGCGGCGGTCGATTTTTAGGAAAGAGCAAAAAAAGAAATTAATAACGGTGCTAGTCAAACAAATCGTCTTGTAGAGATGGCTATCGAATATTTACCTTCAGCAGTAGTCTCTGTTATTAATTTGGTATCACAATTAATTTTTGCTTTCATGAAAGATTTCAAATTATATACGCGTACAACTTCTGTTCGTCACTATTTAACTCGGTAGTGTTTCGAATTGAAAAGATTTTATTCATATTATTTTTTGTTTTTCATAGAGTGATTTTGATGCGACTCGTTTTACTATTTACTTTTGTATTCATTATTATTCTACAAATAACATGTAACACTAATGAATGTGGAATGCAATCAGAACTGGTTGGTTGCGATGAAATTAAAGGACAAGAAACGTTTATACATGTATGTTGATGCGTAGTATTTCATGAAGAATAAGCATTTGTTTTCATTTAGTGTTGGGAAACTCTAATTGGCCAAGTTATTTATCGACTTGTTATTACTGATACTGTCGTTATGTTAGTTATTCATCTTGTTGTTGATCCATTGCGAAGGTAGTTTATGATAAACAATTAAAAATGCGTCAATTAGAAGATCGATTGAAACTTTCTGACTCTAAGAAACATTCTTTTTTCATCTTTCACACTTGGATGTCTATTGAGAGAATAACAAACAGATATAAATGACATAAATATAATAGTACTCATCGATGTTATTATAGGCGGCAGATTAAGGTGCCTCGGTTTCGGGACTTGTTCAAACGATTTTCATTTTTATTTTAGTTTACTCACATGCTGTTGTGCATCAAAAACAGGAGATATGAAGAATGAAGATGAAGCAACTATAGATACAACTCAAGAGCCACCTACTCGATGTTTTCTTTGTCAATCAATGGAATTTGAACTCGAAGATTATGTATTGGATTTAACCTATACTCAAGCATTATGCTGGTATGTAGTGATGCAAGAATTATTATTTTGAAAACTTGTTGTGTAATTATTTAGGCATGGTTTACTGTTCTGTCCATTTCTACCATTGGTTGCAGCATTTAAAAACGTAGTGATCTTTATTGTTAAATTGGTAAGTGAGAAATTCAACAGTTAGATTCATGTCTTTTTGTTTTTATTTAGTTAAGTCTAGCACTATTTCGAAAAAGATCTGGATTAGAATTGAGTCCTGCACGAGCTTGTCATATGTTTACGTCTGTGCTTCTGTTTTCTTTTGTTTGGGCTTTGTTGCCAGTTAGTTTTCTTGCTACATCGTAAGTTGATTTTGTTTCTTGAAGATTCAATAAAAATATTTATTTCCGATTTTTATAGACTTCGACCATCACGTGGTTGCGGTCCATTTCGTTTATATAGTCATGAGCCTGATTTTTATATTTATTATTCAATTCGTAATATTATTACACAAATTAAAAATGAAGTTTTGACCAACATTATTCTTAAAATTAGTAGTGCTGTGGTCATTATTCCATTAGTTTTAATCTTGATGTATGTATAGAATTTTATTGTTGATTCAGTATGCGTAATCAAATTTTATTTTTTCTCATTTAGTCTATTGTCATGTATTCTGAGCATCCGACGTAACAGTTATCGAGCAGCTTCTATAGAACTTTATAAGTTACTGCATTCAGTAAGTTTTCAACTACGAAAAACGTCTGATGATTAATGCATGCTTTTGTTTTCTTCTACGTTTTAGTCTCATAAAACACACCAGTTGGCTGTAAAAACTACGTTAACTACAACAACAGAACTATAAAATGTTTATCTTTTTATCACTTCTTTGTTTAAAAACATTTGCGATATTATTTCAATAAAAGAGAATAAGAAAATATTGTTATGAAAATGGAATTTTCACTAAAATTATATCATCTTGAAGATTTTTTCAGTAGTTCTGCATGTGATGATACTCATACTCATTCATATGCAACAAATTTTCTAGAAATGATGAACGACTTCTATAAACAAATAGTTTATGCAAGTAGAACTTGTATAAGAAAAAGAAAGTTTAATCATAATTATATGTCAATCGAAAAATACTCAAAGTATACAACAAGAATAAACACATGTATAACAATAATAATAATAATAATAATAAATTTATATATTTATATTTGTTTTTTTCTTTTTCTTTTTCGAAATAATAATGATTCTAAATATATTATACAAAAATATGTCGTACGAAAAGAACACAACAACATAGATATACAATGAGTATTAGTCTAATGTACTATCCCAAGTAATATTTCGTCGTTTTGGTGTTGACTGAAAACCATTATTTGCTTTTAATATTGAGCGATTTGATGCATAATCGGAATCGAGTGGTTCTGTCTCGGTAAGATCGATTTGTATTGCTGTATGTGGCGAACATAGAGCAGTTTCTTCGTCAGGTGTTAATTGCCAAACCATGTTGGCAAATGTTCGTTTACGTGCAGCAAATAAATGTTGATTTGTAACTAGTTGTTGTAATTGTGGCGAGTTCAGATCAACGCCGAATTGATTAGCAACTGTATTTATTAATAATTGTTTATCGATATTGAATATAGGATTTGTTAAATGATTTGCAAAATAGATCGGTTGATTGCGATGACGACCGGCCGATATTATTTGTGGTTTTTGTTGAGGAATAGTTGTTATTGGTGGCTGATTTTCAGATGAACCGTTATCTACTGTTGGATTAAAATTCGAAATGGTTTGTCCTGAAATAGGATATTGTTGTTGCGTTCCAGATTCATGATTATTCGGGATTGTTGAATAAACATGTTCATTGGATGGCTCCTGTTGTTGTTGTTGTTGCTGTTGCTGTTGCTGTTGCTGTTGCTGTTGTTGCTGTTGTTCATCCACATTAATAATAGGTATATTATGATAACTATCAGGATTCGAGTTTGGTTGTATTATAATAGGTATATTTTCATAGATATGTTCTACAGAAGCTTTTGAATTTTCTGAAGGCAATGGAAGATTTGAAGTAGTTCCTGTTACAATTACTGGTAAGGGTGGTCTCATAATTTCTTGATTTGAAGAAGAAATATATGTGGAAGGAAATGTAGGCATTTCTTTCTCTATAATTGCCGACGTAGCTGGCAGTAATGGCCTTTCTTCAGTAGAATTGAAATTAGATACCGCAAGATTACCATTCGATATTGCGTACGATGGTAAACTGTTATTATTTAAAGGAACGAAACCATTTTGATTTCGAACTAATACTGGACGAGGTGGTGCTACTGTTACGGTTGGCGGTTGATATGTTTCTTGAGTCAATGATAAACTTGTATCGTTTGATGAAGTATCAACCTGCGACGAACCTTCTACTGATGTACCTGTAAAGAAAAATATCATTAGACAACTATGAGAAAGAATTCATTCTATTCATTAGTTGTTAACACTTATGTTTATTTTAGAAAATAGAGTAGTTTTATTCCGAGTTACTTGGGCTATTTTGATTATTATTTAATAGTAATCTAATCAAAAAGTTAGCATCTAAAATGAAACTACTAAAAACTTTGTAATTATCATTGATAATCGAGTTGATTCTTGTATATTTGAAATGTTTTTCTTTAAAATTTTTCTCGCCTTGGAAAAATTCGTATGAAGTCTTTGTGAATATTCAGTCTAAATATTGAATTTGATTTTTGGTAGACCTTACAAAGACACTGTAGATGAATATTTTAACGTTTGGGAAAATAATCGAGAAAAATAATTTTTTAATTAGAAACTGCTAAATTGTAATGAAAATAGACATGAAATTATTTCTCAAGATGATAACGTTTCGTTTAGATTCATAAATATACAGTTTTTGAAAAGTTTCAAAGGTTTCCATTCTTTGAATAATGGTAAAAATATCGTCGATCACAGAGTAACTTTCACGGCGTGTAAAAATGAAAAATATTTATATTATAAAATGTATTAATGAACAAGAGAGAATCTTATCAATTTTCTTTTAAATTATTTTACTTACCTTCTTGATCAGATCCAGTAGTTGTTGAACTACTAGATAATGTTCTGCCATTTCTTGTTTCTGTCTGTTCAATTTTTTTCTGCAGTGTTGGTACAATACTACTGGATCCTATCATTGTTTTTTTATTTTTCTTCGATAATTGTCTTCGTCTAATTTGTGGTAAACTAAAATCAGTTTGTGTTTCAGCATCAACTTCCGATTGTGATGTTATATCAGTATATGTTGGTGATGTTGTCGCCGTCGATGAATCTGTTCTTTGTTTCAGAGGTTCAGGATCAACAGTCAATGGGCTCGTACTCATCGAACGTGTTGATGTCAGTATTCTCTTTTCTAATTTTAACGATGCTATTTCATTCCGTAATTGTTTTAATTCACGCATTAATTCAGCTATCTGTTCTGTTGATAGATTATTGTTTGCTGCTATTGTCCTCATGTTATCATCGTCATTATCATCAGATTTTTCTGTAGACATAAAAACTTCTCGCGTCGAACTTGTTGTTTGGGAGTCGATGGATGATGCTGTTTCACTGTATGTTCGATTATTAGATTTTTTCCTTGCTGAATTTATTGTTGCTCTACCAGTATCGAATTCTGCTCGCGTAACACGACGTATATTGGTTTTTGCTGTTGTTTGTGGTGACGGATCACGATTAGTTACAGTTTTCTTTGTAGAACTCGGCTTTTCCATAGCATTTGAATGAGGCTTAGTTTTCATTTTAATACTCGATAAAGATTTTTGATCACTAGTTCGATTTTCTTTTAGAATCGTTTTTTCAACTGATTTATTTCTGCTAGATTTCGATGTATTTGAAGTACTTGCTGATATTGATAAATTAGCAAAAAAGATTTGAGCTTGTTGAAGAAACAACTGAGTAGAATCCGTACCACGTAAACGAAATATCGATGCTGAATAAGGTCGCTCTGGATGATGTCGTGACCGGTTTTTTGTCACAACGACAATTATATTTAAGTAATTAGAATCACGCCAAAAGTAGAGTAGCTCTGATTTTTTGAATAACCATGATTTATTTGGATCGGTGATATTATTGATTATTAATCCATCGTCTGGCAATGATAATTTCACCTTTAATCCTAAAGGTAAAACATAAATCATGATTCGTAAGGTGAAGGGAAAAGGTGAGTCTTTTGCTATTGTTGTTTACGAACCTTTAGATTGCGTTGTGGATACAATATTTTCGACTGTTTGCTTTAATATGTTTGTTGAATAATTTTCTAAATCTATTCTATCAAGAAAATAAGCTGAGGACTGATTCGGCAATAATGTCGGAGTCGAAAGTAGGGTTTGTTGAGACTGAATGCTATGATTATTATTATTGTTATTCATTAGAAAATGATGATTTGTAAATGAAGAAACATTTGGAATCTGTGATACTGGAGATGAATGATGAGAACTGTGATGGTGCTGCTGACGATGTTGACGATGATAATTATAAGCAGTTGGTTGTGGTGGTTTTGAAGATTGAACGGAATTATAATACATGCTGCTAGACATGTTCTATAACTATCAAAATAAAACACGTTATTGCACTCGTTTAATTGCACACACACAATTTAACTGATCAGAGCAATAGAAAAATAAAGAATAGGGCAGAGATTAATGATTAATATAAGAATAGAGCGACGACAGCAATGATAAAAGGTATTTTATCAAACATTGCTCGTTGTTGCTCTCATTAGTAGAAAAAAAAACCGAAACGAAACAAGACGAAAAAAAGTCACTAGCTAGGTGATGATCATTGCTAATAGCAATGATAAAAGAGGACGACTTCTTATTTGTAAAGTGACAACCATTTTTATTCATTCGTTTCGTTTCGTTTGTCTCATGGACACGCTCGAATGAGTGCTTTAGAGTGTCCCTTGAAAAGACTTTAGCAAATGAAATTCAACTTAACCGAGACGAAGACGACGACCAGCTACGTTCATCACGCGGCTTGCCTACATATACACATATACATATTATGAATATATATATATATATATATTTATATTTATATATCTATGTATGCGTATATTGCATTATATTAACTGAATTGAATTTTTCGAATGACGGGAAAAAAAAGATGATGATGAACATCGAAATCAATGAGCATATCTCCTATCTTCTTTTGTAACCTTCAAATTCATATAAATAGCCGTGATATATACATAAATTTTTCATTAATATTTATATTTGATTCGTTTTATTTCTTTGAATGAGGGGTAGTAAGTTTTTCTTTTCTTTTCCTGCTTCTTTTTTTGTTAGACTCCACTATACAGTATTAATATGGACAGTTTGCAAATAGTTTATGTTAGGTCATATATCAAGTCTCCTAGGCAGCATGTGAGGGATAAAACCATTGGTGCGAGCAAGGAAAATGTTCTGTCTACAGATTGCCAAGACAGAAAACTGGCTTAAAGATGAACTGATAGATTAATGTATATTTGATATCTTATATTAACGTAATAAAAATGTGAATAATTTGAAATAACCTTAATTTTTATCTATTTTCTATATCGACTTGAATATCGCTGATAAGTAGTTCTTGACAAATAGCTAATAGATTTAAAATGTGTTCTCTTGCGATATTCTTCTTATTAAAATAAATGGAATTTTGAATTATTTCTTTTTCGATTATTGATTTCTTATCTTAGATTAATTGAATTATTGTACAAATAGATACTAATTGAGTGAGAACGATATAAGCGTGGCTTATGATATGACCCAGAAACAAAATGAATTGTTATTCGCATCTATTTTCTTCTTTCCAAACATCCAATTTTAATGAATGACTTAGTCTGTTGAGAACTCGCTCATCAAATCGATTTTTACTTACTCATCGCCAGTGAACTAATTGAATATATGTTCTTCTGCATAGAAGATCTACAACGACTAATACTCCAGAGCCTACGAATTTATTGCTATTTCAATAGATAGACAGCATGAACACATGAAATTCTATCACGAACATCCAAAAATAGTAACTATCATTATTTTTTACTAATACTATTACGAATGACGCAGCGTCTTTACAGAAGCACTAGTACATTCAATGTAATCGAATTTGAAAAATGAATGGTCACCATCTGCTCTTTATTCAAAAAAAAAAGCATAGTATTTTTAATACCATAACCATTTTTCATGCATCGATCATGCAACAAGATGTTCAAAAAGATAACTTCATATTGTACATGCATCAAAATATGTGATTATCAAGGGCGATTATGTGTGGATTAACTTAGCATCGTTCATGAATGAATGTTTACTCTTATCAGAATAGAAAATGACCGAGATTATTGAGTTTCTATTAATTCTTAACGTTGAAGAATGTATTCATCAAAAATATGAATGAAAATCAATTGTTTGTTGCCCACGCTACATAAACTAGTAGGCGCTCTGTGTCCCACGGCGCACATCTCTGCATTTAATTGATGTTTTACTTGTATTATTCATTCGGCCATAGAGAATATTTCACCGAGCACTCATCAGCTATTCTCCCGTTGGCTTCAAAAATAGTAGACAGTTGCTTTAACCACGCTTATGCAAGATTGACTTCTTCACAATGTTTGAAATCAGTCAGTAAACTCAATTAAACAAAATTCTGACATTTCGAAATTCCGTAAAAAAACAACGTCACGAATGATTTCGTATGTTGTGAATTCAGCCGGGTTTTTTTTTATGAATAATGCGTCGTTCGATCAAATAGAAACCAAAAAGTAAGACGTAAACAAATTAAAATAGATCTTTCTCTTCATTATTGTATAATTGAAAAAGTATAATTTATATTTCGTCATACACTTAGACCGAATGAAATCATAATATTTGCTGCTTCATCTATTTTTCATAAATTACTAGACACAAAGCAACATGTTTCTTTTTCTTTTATTTTTAAAATAGCAGTACATTTTTGAATGTACAATTAAAAAATACAATAAAACAGTGGATCGTATCATCTATAGGAGAACAACAAAAACAAAACTGAAAATACAAGACTTACACGAAACGCTTTAAGCAACCGAAAATTTTTTCTCTATCATCTCACTTTGAGAGTAATATACAACAACGAGAAAAAGAAAATGAACGCTTTACGACAACACAACACTTAAAGAAATAATTTCAGACCGGAACTCACACAAAGTGGAAGAACCGTATAAATATTTTTCAATTCTACGTATTTATATGTACGAATGCATATAATTGTCGAAAACGAACATTCTCGTATGTACAAGAAAAGAAAAATGCATTGTTTTTGTATCCGTAGATGAGTTCTGTTATTTTTTTCTTAAAAGAAAAGATGGTACTCATCTTTCAAGTATATATATATATATATATGTATACATATACATAATTAAAAATTGATGGTAGATGACAAACAGAAGAAAAAACCAGGAAAAAATTAAATTGAAAAAAATTAGCAATCGTCTTGTTTTTAATTCGCTATTATTGTCATTCTTGAGAAATTGAATTTACTACTTAACAATAATAGCTGATTCTGTAAGAGAGTTTTTGTCTGTTTTACTTTTCGATGTGGAACCACAGTACGTAACAGATGGTGCCGATCGTGTCACAGTACAACTGATATTTGAAGTATCATCGGCTGGGTCGAGTTTTGTTCCTGTTGTTAGTAGAACTGATTTTTCCCAATCTCTTAGTTGTATAATAAAACTGATATTAGGATCAACTATTGGACGTAATTGACGCATTTTTGTAAAAGCTTCATCCAAGGTCATACGATATTTTTTTATCATGAAAGCAAGTACTATTGTTGAACTTCGACTGATACCAGCTGAACAGTGAACAAGAACATTGCTCGTTTTCTGGCGTAAGGCTTCATCTAGATTTATGAAATTATTTTTAATTATGTGTAAACACACATAGAAGAATTTAAAACTAACCAATGAATTGAAAAGTTTTGTCGAAATTTTTTCGAATATTTTCCGATGGTAAATCGCGTATAGCAACTCGCATGTACTGGCACTTTTTCTCCCATAAACATGGCAAATCTGGTGTTGAATTTATAATGTGTGTAATACCATTTTGATTTAAACGATCAAGATTTTGAGCATCATGTACATTACCTTAAGATAATAGAAGATATAGAATTTTCTTTTTGTTATCATTCAAATCTTGAAGAGATGATAATGTATGTTTGCTATTTTATTTAATTATTCATTCTTTATGGTGTTTGCTTAATGACACAATGCTTTGTAATCATTCATTGAGTTATATTTATTTAGCTATAACATTATCGAAAATTTTATCAAAGAAAAAAAGTACTGCTTTTTTTCTCTTCTTGTTTACGAAAATCTGATTAAATATAAAAATAGATTTATAACTGCAAATGAATACATACCTACAAATACATGAGGTAAAATTTGTGACATAGTAAAATTTTCTTTGTCAAATACTTCAGGAGAAGATGGTAAATGATCGTGTTCATGTTTTTCTCTTGGCATTATGTCTATGGCACATTCAATTAAATGTGGATACTGATTTTTAACAGCATCAAAACCGCCTAAGGATGTAGTGATAAAAGTTTCCGTTTATGAATTTTCTTTATTGTGTTACCTTGAATGATATGCACTTTTTTGTTTGATTTATTTGCTGCTTGTATAACGAGATTTATTGGTGATGAACGTATTTTATCTCGAATTCGTTCATCTGTTGATTGATCATAAAGTATAACAATATCAGAATTGTTTAAACATGCTGATAGACTCGGTTCAACCTCTTCTAAACGTTTTGACATTAGTTTTCTAGCCATTATCTTAGCTCGGCAATTAACATTGTGTGATGAACGTATACGTTCACAGCCGAAATCTATTTGAGAACGACAATCTACTATTGGATATTTTCGCTCGTGCATGTGCGAACTCTCAGACATTAATTCACAAAATTCTCTCGGAGATATAAAGAGAAAATGTTCATTGCTACACGATGACATTGCATCTGAACAACTGTATGCTTTTGTCAAAGGTGTTCGTTTTTCCGTTGAAGGATATTTGATTGTTTCATTGGCATTGCTAGTGATACAACTAGGCAAACTTTTAGAAAAGATCAGATTGATCGAATTTGATGTAGAATTTTCAACATTTGATAACATGTTTATGTTCTTTTCGGCCAAAATACTTTCATTGACAAATGAATTCATACCTTGAACAAAAAATAAATAAAATAAAATAATGAATTTCTAATTTAACCTACAGTCTACGTATTAGATTTTTCCTCGGAACAAGTTTTCTCTGTTTTTCTTTTCATATAGTTATTTGTTTATTACTCACTGTTGACACTCATTTCTCAAGTACTCATTAGAAGCAAAGGTAAACTTCGAAACAGATAGAAACATATCATAACTATTACTATTTCTATAATTAACGTTTAAAAAAATTTAATGATATTTTGAATCATACCATTAAAAAAATATATAATATTGCATCGTCTCAATAGATGTCACCAAGATAACATAACCATAAATTTCAATTACATGACATTTTTCTTTCTTTTATAATGGGCAATATCTTTCCTTTTTTCTTTGATTGCTAGTCTATGATTGTGTACATAATTTGAGAATGTAAATATATTTACCTGAATCTATTTCTTTAAATAACTATCGATAAAATTGGGGCAATGGGTAATTTTTGACTGACGTTTTTTTAAATATGTTACCGCCACGAATAATAGGTAAACAGTATTGATTTTCGTTTTAAACTACCCTTCTCAAATAAGAAACATCACATGTATTAAGCTATTACGTGTGAATATATATAATATTTCTTTATCATATGTAGAATGATAAGCATCTGGTGCTGAAAAAATAAACGCTTCAGATAAAGCGAAAAACAAATGCACTATTTTTAGACTATTAACATTTTTCTAATTATCACATAAATTCTAATTAGACTGTTGATATATCATCATCAGAGTCATAGATTGAAATAGTACCAATCTATGCTGGCTTAATCTGTGAAACTTTTCATTGAATAAAGTCTATCGAACAATCTAAATTCGTTACTTTTTCATTGTCACAAGTGATCAATCAAATGAATAAACTAACTCCGAACACAATGGCATATAGAATGATGTTCTATTCAAAATAAGAGCTAAAGATTCTTTCAAAATAATATTCATTGTGCCAAATGTCATTTGTACCAGAAGGGAAAATTGATTTGCTCACGATCACGAGTTTCTTTACCTGGATCATATAAATGTTTTTTGTTTTCGTCTTTAGATATTGATCCTCATGCATATGAATGGAGTAGTAATAGCGTGTCAGAAATAGCAAAGCCATTCTTTTCTTCTTTTTACTAGTCTTTTCATTGATTCGAATTAATAAAAAAAGAAAAAGCACACAGCTCTGCGTATCACTGGCTTTAGTTTCGATGACGTTGTTGTCTATACCTTTTTTGTTTTTGTTCTACGTTGAATTGAGAAACTGGGTTTTGTTCGTTGTTGTCACTTATCGATGGGCCTAAGTACAGTTGTTGCTTATCACTAACTGGGACAGTAGAGGAATAGGAATGAAAATGAAAATAAACAGTAACTTTGTTTTTTTCCTACCTACGAGTAATACAATAGTGTCGGGTTAAAAGGCAAGTCAGGGGCGCATACAAATGTGTGAAAAGAAAGGGGCATTTGACTCATGAATATGATTTTTTTTCTCGTCTACTTTACCCAAGTTGTTTTTCACGGCCTACACAAAAATGTTTTTTACCCTTTCCTTTCTCTTTCTCTCTCACACAAACCTGTCGTTTTCTCCAATCATTGTGTTGCTGTTACATTTTGAAATCTTTAGGAGTAATAAGCATTTCACCATTTCAAACTTCCTTTTCGCCATAAAATCAAATAAAACTTTCATATAAATTAAACACAACATGGAATTCATTGCATAATAATATTTTTTCCATAATTTATTTTTGACCTTAGAAGATATAAAAAATGAAATTTTATAAGATAAATATAATAAATAATATCTCATATTGACGTAGGCGACATAAAGGTAGATAAGACTGATGCACGACTATTGTCCAAATACATTCATTCATTTATTCATCAAATGAAATGTTTTCTTCTTATTTTCAATTTCAAAGATTCTAATCGAATCGACATGAATATAATATATATTCTTCATTGAAGTATGGTTGCTGTTAGAAACATTTTCTCACTTAGACGTTTTTTTAAATAACGACCATTGCATTTGATTCTTTTTCTTGTCTTCTATTCACATAACGTAAAAAAAACCGAGCGATTTATTTTCATTTTTCTTTTCTTATTCAACGATAGTAACCATCATAATCATGATGAGAAAAAGAAAGATGAAGTGCTTCTATGTATGCTCTATTAAACGTATCTGAATGTTTTGTTGCTGCATCGGATGCTGTTGTTGTTATTCGAAACTACATGCGCGTTTAAAAAAGAAAACGAGAGAATTAATGTAAAAGACGAAACAATTGAAAAGTTCTCACTGAATTTCTATGTTTGTTGTACGGAGTGTAAAAAGACTAGAAAAGAAACATTAATTTTGTTAATTTAAACACTACTATCATGAATCCACAACAATCTAATGAAGACAAAGTAACATTTGTTTTATTTTTTTCTCGTAATCAACCATCATGCGATATACCATATTTAATGGCACATCAAGAAGAACGCGTCTGTCCAATGTTATTATCTGCTACTTTCTATTTTATGCGTGATCTTGTTGATTACAGGTAGAACAGGTTTTTTAGCAAAATTAATATTTTTCAATTAAAACACATTTTCTTTCAATCATCAGAGCTATTTCATTTCAAAATTCAATTTATATTATGGGCGGTCGTTATGCATCGACCGGTCGTCTTTCGTGTGGTGTTTTTAAATATGATGCTGAAATTGATTTTTGGAGAACGTGTGATTCCATGCAAGCTCCACGGTACTTGAAATCATTGCTATTTTAATTATCATATTGTTTTCTTCTCGCAGAGTTAATTTTTCTGTGAGCATTTTCGATTCGAAAATATATGTACTGGGTGGCGAAGGTCTTAAAGGTGCGATTATACAAACCGTTGAAGCCTATGATCCCGTAGCTGATCGATGGAAAGAAATTGGCACATTACCAAAACCAAGACGAAATCATGCAAGTTGTACAATTAATGGAAAAATATGGTCATGCGGCGGTGTTAGTTCATTACTCGAAGCTCAATCTACGAATGAATTAGTGTTAGAAAAAAAAAGAATTTTGTTTTTTTCGATTTATTTTTGTTTCTGCTTTTTTTTTGTAGCATTGTTGATCCTCGCCCAAATGAATGGAAACGTTCATTAACAACGTATACATTGCCTGAGCTACGTCAACAACATTGCATTACTTTTGTAAACAATAATATATTTCTATTTGGGGGTAAGAAAATAGTCAAATTGAATCAATCTCAATTCAGTTTATAAGTATAGGATGTGAAAAAAACGGGGAATATGCTCAAAATATGCATTCAATCTATCGTATTAATAATCCATCGTCAGAGAGTGCACCAGCGTGGGAAGATCTAGGCCATCAATTACTACATCCGCGTACAGACTGTGGTTATTTTCAACTAGGTAATAAAATAAAAGGCGTTTCGCATTTTACAAAAGCAAAAATTCTTTTATTGATTTATGCAGGTATTTTTATGCTAAGAAAACAAAGGGGTTATATTTGATCAGATTATTTTCTCGTTCTATGAGGAGAAAGGGATTAGAACAACAAGGATTGTTTTTAATCAATGAAATAAGTTGTTTTCTTTTGTTTGAATTCAGTAAAAGAATATATCAACTTTCACGTCGGTATTAATAACAATGTGTATGTAGTCTCTTGATAGCGTGTCAACGGCGGTAGCCAGTAACTACAGTGTCTCATTTCGAAAAAGAAAATCACCAGAAAATGTGCTAATATTTAATTAAACTCTGTCTTCAACTGTAGCTCTGCATTACAGCGCGTCAAAATGAAAATAGATACATCAGTTTCGTGCGTTTGTTTTTGAAGGCTTCTGGAAGATGGCAGATAATATTTTCCTGCGTAGTATTTGAAGAAAAAACGTGTCTAAACGTCTCTTCTTTCTATTAGTGAAAAGCGTGGGTTCTAATCGAATGATTGAGTTGATTTATTTTGACATGCAGCTTCGTTAGCGTGGTTTTTTTTCTAGTTATATTCTTGACATAATAAAATACTATTTGCCATCGTAAGCAAAAATATTTCAATAATGTATTTTTCTTTGGCCTATCTTTTTTTCATCTACGCACGTTAAATTCTTACGATCATTTACGTCATACTCAATATTAAGGTAAACATCAAGTTTCACTAATAACATGCGATTAATGATAAATATTTGTATACATTTTGATATTAATCATCATATTGCCAAAACAAAACAAAAAATACTTTGTCACCCTATCATGCGATACAATGATGCATATTTTCACATAGTAGAAAACAGTATCATCAGGTTTCTTTTTGAAATTTAACTAGCCAAATGTTAGGCTTCACATACATATAAATTAGAGCTCACCAAGTAAAAACTATGAGATGCAACGAGCGTCATCAGCGAAAATCCTACTCATCATTCATAAGTCAAAAACAGAAGCACTGATAAAAATCTTTTCTCTATTCGAAGGTGACTTGCAAAGGCAAAGTTATCTGATTCTCGAGCGCATACCTCTTAACATTTGTGGACTTCAGCACTGAATTCTAGTGATAAAGTTCGTTGTATTTTCTAGAAAAGAAATTTATTTTTAGAAAATGACTTTTATCAGGCTCAATGAAAATCGTATAGAGATAAGTTTTTATGAGATATTCAGATAAACTGAAGAAGACCTTTTTATAAAATACCTGTGAAAAAAAAACATTTATTACAGCTCTAAAGGATTTATTGAAAAGGTCAGCAAAGACATTCGACAAAATCAATTACGTGATCATATAAAATAATCTTTTCTAAAGTCTATCCAATATTTTATTTCTTTTAATCTTAGGTGATTCATTATATATTGTTGGTGGGTATAATAGTGAAACAGGACAACCAACGAAAATGATGGAACGTATTGATTTAACCGATGAAACTCGAATAAAAATCGATGAACAATTTGAAATCGATAAAAATCTCGGATCTGTTGATTGCTGTGTTGTTCAAACAAGCAAATTTAATGAACATCTTTTACCTTTAGCTTCATATTTAGATCATTGGATCATTTGGTAATTTTATTTCTCTTTTTTTCTTCCGAACAAATAAAGTCACACGCCAATTACAAGAAAAAAAAGCACAGAGGAATCATTAACTTCTCTTTTTTCTTCTGATAATACTTAACAACTGACAAGTAATTTACAAATCTTGGACTTTTGATTACATATGAAAAACAGTTGAATTTAAGAAATAACAAAAAAATTTAAGTTGTCTATTTGAATCATTGATTAATACGTTTTCTGTAATTCTTTACTGAGCCATTCAGGTGATATGTCTTCACGCAATTCGATTATCTAAATGAATAAAAATTCAACTGTGGATCGTTTGTTTCCAAACAAAAAATACATACGCGAGTGATGCCTGATGCAGCTGAAACGGAATTTGCTGTTGATGCATATGTAAAACGATTATTTGTTCCACACCCATCAGGAATATATAAAATTAAATTGAGCGGATATTGAATTCGGCCATCGGCATGTTTTAATTCATGACTATGCAAAATGAAACGAGGTTCACGACTTGGCAATTCGTCAATTAATGCTTCAACACTCAGGTCCTATAATTTAAAGATACAATGCACATAATCTTTTGAATAATAAACAATTAGAAAATTATTTTATCTAAGATCAAAATTGATACTTGCTCATTTTCATAGTACCCTCAAATGACACGGATGATGGCGTACTACTCAGTTCTGCTAACTAGAACTGGATGGAATAAAATTCAATTTCTTGAGGATCACTACCGAAGTTTTCGCTGATCAAAGTTATATCTTGAAAATATCAAGTTAGTGTCTGTGCTTGTTTAGTTATAGACATTTTACTGTAGGAACAGACGATCGCTTAGAATTATGAAGACTTATTTTTGTGTGAAAACATTTTCTATAAATCGGCCTTGCAGAGATTGTAAATTCTTTTACTGCTGATTAGAACAAATCATATTTTAGTAAACTATTGGGAATTATTTAAATACCTATACTAGTTCTATATGTCCCGTGAGAAATAATTAAAACAAAAATTCAAATATTAATTTAACAGATGAATTTCAATTCTATTGATCAAACGTTGCTGAATTTTCGTGTTTACCTTGAATTCTTTGTCGATTACAACTTGATTTGTTTTCATATCACATCGTACTATAAACGTAGAAAATATGTCTTTTTTTTCGATCTCTTCAAGTACATTTTTGTTTTTGAAAAATTCGCTTACATAATATTGCCATAGTCGATTTGTTCGATAACCGGCGAAATTTTTTCATTGCATCAAGCACATCCTGTTCAATCGTACATGGTGACATAGAAGCCATGGTAGATATTATTTTTTAATCTATAAATTGCGAAGAAAAATTTAATAACAAAGACTTGAGTATAAAACAATATCTCCTGAATAAATAGTGAGCGAGATAAAAAAGAAACATTACTAACAACAAAATATACTCTTTCTACATGATCTGTCGAAAAAAACGTTACATCCACTGTATTTGACTCCATGGCTCTTTATTTAATAAATGATTGATTAATGACTGATTTCTAAATGAACTTAATTTAAATATCATTGTTGTGTAAAATAAATAACCGTGCAAAGTTTTTGGCAAGCAACTCAAATGCGGCAGTATTTTTAACATATTTGTTTGTTTACGTTCACAATAAATTTCAGCACAACGACGAATTTTTAAACGACATAAATGCTTTAATTGATACACTGATCTTGATTTTCCCTCAATCATACGTTGATAATATATGCCAAATGATGCCTCTAAGTAATTTGAATCGGCCGTACGTATTATCTCATCAAAATAGGGTAATGAAGTCAAATGTTCAAGTAACACCGGATCATAAATAAAATCATCATTGCGAAGCCATAATTGTATATAGGTTATGATAGTCGCCGTCAGTTGAGAATAGTGAAGAGTGTCAATGCGTAGTATTCCTTTTGCAAATGCATCAAGTAGAATACGTTTTGTTCGATTGTTTGATGTTAAACGGCAACAAAGAGAAATTATATCAAATAATGTAAGAGAAAAATTATTTCTCGTGTCAATATATGTAAATTTGATAGTGTTGTGAAGAAGAACTACTGGACAAAAATTTTCTAAACAAAAATAAACAATTGGCAAATGTTCTTTTACTAATGCATGATAGAAGGCAAGTCGATTTGGAAGAATTGAAAAATCAATTGGAGTAAGAGAAAAAAGATTTTCTATTGTTTTTATTGTTGCGTAATATTTCTCCGGATGAAATATCCATGGAGACAAAACTGATAAGGCTAAAAGTGGTGTTTTGGCTTGTGTAGAATCTATATATAAATGTAAATGATCATTCTGTTGTGTATCTAATGAATACGGAGTTCTTGTTAATGATTGCAACGACATTGTACAATAACGATTGAGATTTTGTAAGAAACTTGATGCACCGGCTGAAATTATATCGACTAAAATGTTAGAAGAAGAAAAAAATAATAATCTCACTAGTGAATACTTCATTCAGACGATTGAACAATATCTTACAATCATTCGATGTGGTACTAGTTCGTTCAGTCATTACTGTATTTGGATTAAAACCGAAATCAACAAGAAGTTTAACAATCATATAATAGGAACTTTCACAAGCACTAATGAGAGGTTCAATAATATCCAAATTTATTTGAGAACTCGTTGTTTCGAGTACTATTTTAACAAGTATTTCATCACCGGTTTTAACAGCACGTAAAAAAGGATATGCTAAACTATAATCATACATTGCGTATAGATTTGAATTTCTATTTAATAATTTTATTGCGTATTGTTTTTGAGATGAAAGATTAACGGCCGGTTTTGCCGTCTTTCCTTCACATAAATGGCCAAAACAAATGTTTAATGGATGATCAAGAGAATCTGGTGAATAATGATTACGTCCAGGATTTGTTCTTGTTGTTTCCTGAACACTCCAGCCAAGCCGGTTAACATCACAATTGTGTTGCAGTAACAAACTAGCATAATCATAGATATTATCATGAGCCAGACTAACACACAATGGATTGAGACCTAATCAAAATTAAGGTTAGAATTATAAATCGAATGGATGAAAATAAAATTTCATCTACGGGGGAAAAAGCCAGTTAGCGTTTGATGGGCAACAACTAAACATTTATCTTATTGCTCACTGCCTTCAAAAACAGAGTAGAACAAACATGAAGCAATGAAATTTTTTGTATTAAGAATTTTCTAGCTGCATTGAAGATGTTCATAGGGGCACATAGATGGATAATCAACCACGGTACAAATCTCTAAGCTCACCAGCAAATACCGATGGAAGCCTTTGTTTTAAATAATACGTTTTGATCACGTATGAATATTTACCTGAGCTTATCCAGTTCTATATGAAAAAAACGTTTTATGAACTTAATGGATTTTTCTCGATGAATGTTAAATAAGAAAAGATATCATACCGATATTAATATTAAAATCACGTATTGCTAAAAGATATTTAACAATATGATAACGTTGTTCATGATTACTGGATGCATCATAACGATTTTCAGTAGCACCTAATATAGCTCCGTGTAAACATGTTTCATAGGTTGTCGTCAATTGGTATGTGTCACAATTTTTTGATTCAATTAAATATTTTACAAGTTTTAAACGATTTTCACGGCAAGCATCTATTAAAATAAAAGAAAATATTTCTCTATAAACCGTAAGAAACATAATCGTTTAATTACGATAGAGAGGAAACTGATAATTTTGAGTATCATTTGAATAAGTCTTACAATGCTTGCAATTAGATTGCACGCGATCATTTGGATTAATATGACCATGATCAATAAGATATCCAACTATATTCAAATAGTCACGTTTCACTGCTAAACACAATGAAACAACTTCTGTATGTTGTTCGTCTTGTCCATAGTCATGATAATCAATTAATTCTCTGACTAGATTAAAATTATTATTCGCTACGGCCATATATAACATACTGTCATGCGCAGCTATAGAAGCAGCAAGACTTGTATCGATATGATACGTCGGGATCGCAGCATTCGATTTTGTTAGATGTGAAAGCATTGATTTATGGTTAGTCGGTAAAAAGGTTGGTAAGGCGCCACGAGATAATAATTCTCGAGTTTTATTGAAATTATTTTGATGAATAGCAACATATAATTTTTCATTTAATGTTAAATAACCAAACAAAGACGATGCTATCAGATCATGCAAATGTACATAAAAATAGCGATAAAATGACTGAAATTTTTTAAGTAACCAAACGAGTAAAGAAGAATATCGAGATGTTGATAATGATGGTGACGATGAAATAAATGCGGGATTGAATTCAGGCTAGAGAGAAAGATTAACTTAAAAATAATATCATGCGAAGACGAAATAAATGAACTTTACCCTACTGACTTTCGATACCATTTAGTTTTAGCTTTAATAGAGTGTCTATATATTTCGGGTGAGAATAGTAACTGTATGTAAAGTTAACAATTACACTTTTGATAGTTGTCGATTGTTAGGGAGGGCAAAGTTTATGTGATTCAATCCGATGAGAAATATTTCCAATGAAAATTTTCGACTTTTAATCAATGGTAGATTTATGAGGAGGAAATAGCCGTGACTGTAAAATATATATTTTGACGCTTATTTTAGATTCGTTTCAGAAAGAAAAAAATTTGTTGCCAATATTTACATCATGTTTTACAAAATGGTCGAAAAAATCTTCAGTTTCCCCCTAAATACTTACCAATTTTGCTGCATTGAGGTTTCGCCAAAAATCCCGATTATCCATATGTTAAATTTATCTAGAAATAAACCACTCGAATTGTGTCAACAGTATTTTTATTCTTGTTCGATGTAACTAATATGACGGACATGAAAGCATAATAGACTTGTCATGCATGATTGAGATTTGAGTGACTAATTTTTGACACAAACAACTATTACAATTATACATATGCCAAACAACCAATGAAAAGAGGCATAGACATTACAAATGAAGCACATTTTTCTAGGGAGGTACATATATTTTAAGAAGTTTTATTGATCCTATTATTATAAAATAGAATTTGTATTAAATTACGAAATTTAAAAGTTTATCTCCTTCATCAGTAAATGCTAAATTTCTTTACTGCTTATGATGATTGAACGGTTAAGATATTTATGTTGAAATCTATGCAGAGAACTCAAATATATATTTCTCTGCACAGTTTATTTACACAATTCATAATGCCTATGAATAAATTTATTAGTAGTTATTTCTCGAATATTGGTTTTCAAAAACAAATATTTTTTATGCAAATTTTCATTAATGCGACTATGAAAAAAGATCTATTTATTTTATTCTCGAATAATTGTCGAAGCGTATATACAGTTTCATGTTGCCAGTTATATTCAAAATCAGAAAAAGTCATGCTTTCTGGAAATCTGAATTCTATGAAGTATAGTCTTCTGAGATAGGAAGCCATATACAATATGTGTTAGATTAATCAAACATGAAAAACATTATGACGAGAAGACTATCGTATATTAAAATATTTGGTCGAAGGGACCTTTAGTCTCGTTTTTGTAGACATCTAGGAGCAATGCTTGTCTTGAAAATGGATTAGTGAGGCCTAGATCCGTATGATAAAGATATTAATTGGCATCAAGCTTTATAAATTCAAGTAGAGACCTACCAAAAGTAAAGATCAAATTTTCCTTCGCATATAAAGTGTTTCTCAAAATATTCGACACATACAAAGTATTAATAAGAAACAAAAGAAGTGTGACAGCGAATCATATTTTTTATTTTCGAAACATATCTTTATTTATTTATAGTAACCTTATTATCTTTAGTGATAATGCAAACAATCTGATGACGCTATGTCTTTTGTAAACGAGATACTTCTAGCGATGATTTTTCGTTGGAGTTCAAAGATATCATATATCGATAACGTTTGTTCTATAAATAGCAGATATACGTATATGTTGATCATACAGTGCCAAAGCGTATGCTAAGAGATTATAAAAATATCTTTGATACATTAACACACAGTATGTGACATACCATTGACTTCTTTAAAGGTCATACTGCACGTATTGCCTCTCTTACATTGTATTGAAGACATACAATTCGTTAACAACGACGTAAATAACACATAGAGCTCTTAACGCGAAATAACTTTCTTAGAAAAGAACGTCTATCTTACTTTGATGAATCGCTTCTATATCTATATAATAAATTCAAATATTTATCTACGAATGACTGATCGCATTGAGTACATTAAATACATCTACAAAAGATAATTGAAAACTTAGAGAACATATATATTTATATCGAAGATTATACTTGCCACAGGAGATCAATTATTAATTTATAAAACAATTGTTATAGGAAGTTAGTCACCGGATAAAAGAAATTTCATTCGATTACAATCTATTGAGAGAATGCGAAGAATTAGATTCATATCTCAAATCTAATCAATTCTGGAAAAACATCCAGATAAAAAAAAGATCCATCATGCGCCATAATCATCCTATAAACTTCTTTGATATAGAAAAAAATAAAACGGATTTTAATTGATCGCAACAAGCGGTTTTTTATTCTTATTTTATTTTACTCTGATCTTGTTTAGTTGTAATATAAATATACATGATAGTGCATAACAATTCAAAAGAAAGAGTAAAAGAGTTCAACAAAAAAGAAAAAAGAGTCCTTTGTATCATCAATAGATAACACTACGCAAAAAAAATGAAAAACTTCACCAGAGAAACAGTGCATGCATTATTTATTTCTTTCGAAAGTTAAACAAAAGAAACAGAAAAAACACATCCTAAAGAAATAAAGCTGAAAGCAACATTGACGAAATCCTCTTGAGTCGTAGATAGAAAAAAGAAAGACAATAGGGATAAATAATATTCGGCTATAAAAAAAAAATGAGAACAAAATTCAAGATCAAGATTTTATACTATGTGCTACATTGTTATTATTTGTTATTGAAGAATTATCATCATCATCACCATCACTCGTTTGAGAACGACATGACGATGAAGCATTTAATAATCTAAAAAAGAGATTAAAGAGAATGTCAATAAAAAAAACAACAGCAATATATATGTGTATGATAGATATTTTTTTACCTACTACTGTGTAAAGTAATTCGATCCGTATTGGACTGTGTGTCCGACAATAATGTGTTGCCATTTGGACCTCCTAGAGAATAAATCAATACATATATTTATTGATTGAATATTTCGTTACACTTTCACCATACAATATGGAGAAAATTTAGCCTCCTTGTTTAATCCGAAAAATGTTTTCCCGTAATGGTGAATATGTACAAAGAATTAAAACTCAATGTGACTGTTTTTTCAATATTTTGACACGTCATGACTAACAATTTTATATGTTTTCTTTTGATTAATTTCGAAACAAGAAGAAGAGGAGGCTGTAAACGTAGGTCGGAAAAAGAAGAACTCAAATATAGGGTCTTTCCGACATTGATCGATACATTCTGGGCTCATCAACATTGACGATTGAGATGTTCTTGACATCGAGTCGGAGTAGTCTCTTCATTGAGTACGATTGCATTTAGTAAAATATGTTGTTTTATATAGAATACTATTTTCAAAGATGTTTCGCTCAATTTCCGATATGAAATATTAAACTTGACATACCTTTACGAAATACTTTTCGTGAAAGAAATCTGACGAAACGATCACCATAATGACTTGGATTGCAAACAGATATTTCTTCCTATATAATTCATATTGTTATTGATGACATTTGACGATAAGAAAGAAAAAAACGAATTCAACATACTCGAGTCACTAGTGTAGATTTTAGAGCATGTTCAAGTTTTTTACGAAGACGATAATTTTGCAATATGTCAATAATACCAACATACAATAATAATAAATCACCATTTTGATTGATAGCTGGTATTCCAGCCCTGTATTATATTAAAACGAAAATAAATATTTTGTCTTTCATAAAAACAAGCAAAGGCAAAAGTAATATAGAATATCATTCAAGTCTCATAGCTAATGTAGTACGTTATATCTTTCACGCTGTTAAGAAAAGCATAAATTTTAGCGAATACGATTCTCTCGCCCTTGATTTAAAGGAAAAATCCTATTTAAATTGCATAGAAAGACAAACAAATATTAAACATACATTGCAAGACGCGAAAGATTTTGTCGGTTGTACCAAACATCGCCACCGATTAAGGCGTTGCCAACTGGAAACGATGATGATGATAATGATGATCTTTCATTATAAATTATTTGTGTTTTACTGTTTCCACGAGTAGTTGATTGAGTATCACTTTTTTGACTAATATTTTTATTTGATTGTGATGATGCATCTCCTGTGACTGTTTTTACACTTGACGTATCAATATTATCATTATGAGGATTATCAGATAGAGAATGTTCTGTATTTGTAATAGATGAACTTCTTATTGAAGGTTCCTGTTGTGCACGAACAAATTCAATAACACGTATATATTGTATATAAGTTGGAATTTTAGTTATGGTTGTCATAGCAATGCCAGAGTCAGTCGATGCTGTTGTTTGTACATCTTCATGTACACTCAATGGGTTATTGGTGATCATGTCTAATGCTGGCTTCGATGTATTCGATGCTGACAGTAACGATGGAGTTAACAGAGCTAATTTTTGTGCTGGTTTCATTTCTTCAGTTATATTATGAGCAGCAAGCAGAAGAGAATAATCCATTATATCAAAACTGCCAAGAACCTGAAAGCAAAACAAAATCAATTCGACTCTATAGAATAACTGGAAATAGTTCGTTTCTCTAGGGAACAAGGTTGAAAAGCAAAGGAAAATCAGAGTTAATTTTGTATTCACAGAAAGTCTGCCGAGAACTGAATATAGGACTATGATGAATTATTCATTGAATGGTTATGTGCTGGAGAATCACGGAGTATCTAGGCTGAAATTAGATGCTCACATCTATTGTCTATCATAGAAACTAACGGTTCCTAGACAGTAATATTTTCTGCACTCATCGTTTTAGTGACAAGAAAAGATATTACAGTGTTAAGATGCATAAAATAAAACAGATCCTTTGTTAGAACTATATTTTGTAATTGTAAAATTGATAATTACTCGAACATCATCTTCAATTGTTTGCATTAGTTGATCGTAAAAAAATGGTTCAAGAATTAAACCATGTGGATGAAGAGACTTGAAATCGTTGTCTTTCAATGTTGGTAAATCACGTTTACGTTCTTCTTCTGATGCTTTTCGTTTATAAATCGATCCTTTTAAATCATATTTTTCATGTAGTTGCACATTGGATGGTATCAGATTATTCATTATAACAAATCGTATATTTTTATTAGCACTTTGATAACAATATAGACCAAAGAATTTTGGTAACAATGTAAATGGATTTTGTGTTAAATTCATATAGTATCCGGGTAGAAGGCTTTGCAGAAATCGTGCTTCTTTTTTCGACACAGTTTTTATTATGTACGTATCATCAGCTGTGATGTAGAATATAGAACCGCTTGCACCTGGATTTGGTAGTTCGTGTAAATCTTTAGCACATAGCGACGACTACAATATTCGGAAAAATTAGGACATCGTATTCTCTTAGAGCAATGATGCACTTAACTAAATGGAAGACTCCATTGGAAGATTTGCATGCGTAATAGTCATAGAAAAAGTTCCCCGGATGTTATCTAATGCAATTTTAGGATTAATTCTAGTTCAATTAATCATCTCAATGTCTTCTCGAACATGTTGAGATTGTATTTTACAAGAATTTAACTAATTCGTGTCAGCTATTAAAGCTTTCTTTAAGCGGAATCTTCGATATGAGATAGAGAAGACAAAAAGAATTCTACGGAAATAAGGTTAAGCTAATAAGAGCAGACTCGTGTTTCCCAGGCCTTATTTCTTGCATGAAGAGACAGATAATATTAAGATACTATGCTATTCGAATATTTCATGAGATTAGTTTTCCTTTCGCAAATCTATTGGTAATTATTTTCTTTCTTTATTTGATAATCGTATCTACAGGATGTTGTCTATTTGAGCATATAATATTGATTACATTAACTATGATTCTAGTCGAGTGGCGCACGTTTTAATTTATGTTATATCGTGTTCTATTTGAACCAATATGTCAAATGATAATGTTTGCCTGGATTCTATTCAACAGCATATAAAACGAGAAAATTTCAATTAAATATCAATTTGTGAAGCCTGGTATTTTCTGATTTCATAGAGTCAAAAGAGAAAATTCAATTTCATTAATCAAAACAACATTCAAGGTTTACTTAGTATTTTGTTTCATGTAAAAGGTCAAGATTATACGTGATATCTCCATACAATTTTTAATTTAATTTGACACCAATTCTTTTCGCGTCACGCACGTCAAACATTAGTGCAGATGTCGAACTAGGCCCATAAAATTAGATTTTAATTTTCGAAAGATTCTGTACTTTCTTTTTCTTCTTCTTCTTCTCTCGCAGACGTCATAACATGCTAGCTATCAATATTTAATGGAAATAAGTTTTCTTCCGGTTTTTCTTTGCGTAGTCGATGTATTTTCTTTCTTCTTCTATGGCATTGCACATAGTTTAACATACCATAAACGATGATGGGTCAACACCGAAAGCATTACGAAAAAATCGAAATGCTGTTTGAGCATAGGTTTTTAACTGAAATTGCGCATACGGATGTTTGGGTGTTGATTTCGAACCGTCCCTAGAGATTAATTGTGCATATTGATTAATAAATGGAGAGGAGAAAAAAATCTCAGTTCTATTACGGTGGAAAGTCTTGATATTCGATTTGCTGAAAATCTTGTAAAAGGACTTGACGCTGCGGCTGATGATGTTTACCAAGAACATATGTAAGACCGATTTGTAATGATTTCATCAGATCGTCTACCATCACACGTTTATAAGTAACAGTGCCTGTTTCATCAACACGACGATGTCCAAGTTTTTCTTTGTTTCCTCCAGACGACGGTTCACTATCATTCTCTGATACCTGAATTCGAAATAATGTCCGATGAGAAAATTCAATGGAAACAAAAACGCATGACTAACTGATATTGGATTGGAAATCATTGGTGGCTCTTGATTCATATTAATGCATTGTTCACTTGTTGTATGTATAAGAATTTTCGGTGGAGATGATGATGATGGACATTCAATAGATGGTTCTTGTTGAATTTCAATTGAAGGAATGTTCGAAGAAGTTGATACTGTGGAATGTGTTGAAGAAAAAAGAAAGTCTGTTATTGAGCCAACATTTGTTGCTACACATGATACAGTTGAAGGAGATTTTCGTTCATTTTGATGAGGAAATAAACCGGGTGTTCGTTGTTCAGTGGTCGTCATGTAAAAAAAGAAAAAACAGCTATGATTGATCTAGAATTAGAAATTGAAATATTTCAATTTTTTCTTTTTGTTTCTTGTGCTAATGAAGAACATAGTCGTTTGACATACGAGAAGATGATTGTGTTAATCGGCTTTTTTTTTCTCTCTTCTAGGCGAAGCGGAAAAAACATTGTCGGAAATATGGGAGGATTGTGTTTTTTTTCCCGCTTCTTCTTTTCTTCCTTTCTTTCTTTCTTTCTTTCTATCTAATCTTTTTTGCTTCTTCTTCTTCTGTTTCTATAATCACTGCTGAATTGAAAATAAGCAAAGATGCTGAGCTGCTTGGTCAACACAGTATATATATATATACTTATATGTAATCTATAAATAATCAAATCGAATATGAACGTATGAGCATACACGAATGTATACTATATATTGTTCTTTTCTCCTCCTCCTCCTCTTCCGATTTTTCTCCGCCTTTTTCTTGGCTTACTGGTGTTGTATTAATAAATACGATAAATATGAGAAACCAGAAATCGAGAAGTTACTCTAGATTGCTCTAAGGTTAAGGTGAGTATTAGCAGAATAAGATTTAATAGCTAACAGATGATAATGACTATAATCGGTAAAATAAAGAAATGAAAGGAAACGCATGTTTTCATTTTTGCATCGAAATACTTATTGGTCTAATATAAATTATGTGTTTAACAAGGATGCTCAGAATATCGATTTTTCTTTTTTTTTGAATGGATTGACTCATACTATCTAGAATTTTCAAGCTTGACGTTGTCCTAATACAAACAAAAACATATTTAGCTATTCACGTTATCTTGATGACACGACAATGTTCTAAGACTGCAACAAAAAACATGGAAAACATCTCGACATTATTAAGGGCAGAGAACGGAAAATCACTCTTCCAGTCGTTCTTTTGTTACGAGTATTAAGAATGCACAAAGAACGCATTAAAAGCACTAATTTAGTAACTTTTATTACTAGTACTAATGAAGAATATTGAGTCTTTTGGTAAGACATACTAAATTCGACTACAGACTAACGTATTGAATTAAAGCAGGTGGAAAATCATTTTAACTAATACGCTTTTAGTACGTCAATTCATAGCTTATTAAATATTCTTTGTATTTGTCTATAGGACTTACGTACAAATATAAAAGAATTCTATCAGAATAGTATCGTTAATCTGCATACAAATGCTACCAGAATATCCTTGTTTTCAAAGGAAAATTCAATTTGTATCATCGGAAAATATTAGATAATTCCATTCCTTCGACAATTATATGTATATCTATGTCAACTTCTTGTTTGTTAGTAGAGGTGTAAGCCGTCAGCCGACGGCTGACAGCCGGTGTTTTTGCTAGAGTGAACGTAGTTCTCAGCTGACGGCTTACGCCTCTACTTGTTAGTTAAACAATGGAAAAAAAAATCGAAGGATTAGTGTTCCATTTGAAAACGTTCTACGATATTACTTTTGAAAAAACAAAGAACAAAACATATTTATGTCAAATTTATTGAAAGGTAGGAGAAATGAGAAAAAAAAAAGAAACGTAGAGATTCATTACATTAAAATAGTATATGTGTATGAATGGAAGTGTAATACCCAAATATGAAATACAATAACAGACAGCAAAAAAGAACACAAGGGAAGAAAACACTTTTTTTTATTGACAGTGATAAACGAAAAAATACCATTTGTATAGATAAAGAATAGCGTGCATTAAGTTTATTTAACGCTCATAAGCAGAAAACCTACTGATTGAGATACAAATAAAAAAGAACACCGGGGCTAGAGGTAAATATATGTATATATGAGAACATGCGAGTATGAAAAGAAAAGGAAATAGTATCATCTTTTTCATTGGTAGTAAAATCAGAAATAAACGAGCTTTTATAAATTTGAAATACATGACTGACGAATATATATATATATATACAATGAGAATAAAAAGAATATATAATAAAAAAAAGAAAAGAGGTTGATCGATACGATCAAACTCTTTTTTGCGGCTTAGCTATAAGGAATGTTTATGTACGAATCTGTTTGTATCAAAGTCGAGTCTAAATAAAGAAATAGAAAAAGAAAAGCTATTAATAATAGAATAATAATAATAATAATAATAATTGTTTGTGTTGATATTTCAAACGAATAGTGAATGAAGTAGAAAAAGTTTATCGCATGCAAGTGTTAGAGTGTATCACACTAATTAGACCTTGTTTTTTTTTAATAAAGTGCAATAGTAATGAGTAGATATTAGATGATGGTTTTTCTTTAATACTAACCCGAATAATATAGGGGTCAGTCTATATAAAAAAGTTAAAAGAAAAGAAAATTTAATTATTCTATATCACCAAATGATATACGTATAGCAAGAAAAATAAAATTGAAGCAAAGGAAAATCAGCAGAAATAGTTATAAAATGAGAAAATAATTACCATTTCATCATTAATGACACTTCCTGATGGATTACGACGCTGTTTTGGTGAAGGGTGCAGGCAACTGTCATCTAGAATAAAATTAAGTTTTGGTTTTAGCTGAAAACAATTCTCAATAGATATAGTCAATTACGGTAAGATAAATTCGTCGCTGATGAAGCTAATTTTCCTACAATACCGCCACCGATAGGTAATAAAATCTGACGCGGTACTTGACCATCATTGTCTTGATGAACCGATGATGTTCGCGTAGCCTTTCGATTGTACGATGGACTATGCATTGTTTTCATTCGATGATTAAATGATGTTGTTACAATTTTAGCTGCATGTCGTTTTGTTGGTTCATTATATAAAGAATCTGATTGATGTGAACTTGAATAAATTGTTGTTGAACTATCATGTTTATTATTCTCACTATCTGGTCTACGCATAAATGTATTCGTGCGTGCCGATGGCGACGAGGAGCAATAGGACGTTATATAACTATTTGCTACTCGAGTTCCTGTGCTGGAAGTTGGACTTGCATAGAGAGGCATATTATTACGATAAGCTTTTGCATTTGCTGTTGGCTTTGGTGAACTAATGAATAGAAAAAGAAAATATGTTCGTAAGTTATTTTGACCTATAAATATTTGTTGAAGAGATATTCGAGATGTAGCTAGCTTTTCTTTCGTCGTTCGTTAACGAGAAGAGCTAAAATCAGCGATTTTTCTATGATAATTTTTCCGAGAACAAGATGCTCTCTTATGAATATGTGCGAGAGGCAAAGCTTAAATTTTCGTTCGACGACAATTCTACATAAGAATGTCAAAAGTAACTCTATTCCTATTTTATCGGTATGACATCTTCAAAATTCTTCAATAATCATTCTGTGAATTGGGGGTTAGGTTAGTTTTTCTGAATTATGTTTTAATTCGTAATATAATATTCTTAGCATATTTAATTACACTCATTTGTTATGATCTCGGGCGCGTCCAACCGTCTTAAGTTCTAATCAGAAAAGATTGAGTTGCCCTTTTCTGTCAATATTTCTACAAAAACTATCGCTATCAATAGATCTAAATTGGCGACCAGTCTCCTGTTGTGTCGTTCTTTTTCCGCATCGATTATAACTACATATTAGCAAGTGCAACCGATTTCTTTACTCCATCGAGTCTGAAATTATTTTGCGCATATCTAATTAGAACTCTTTGTTTATAATCAATACACGCCACACAAAATAATAACTTCATTCTACTAATAATAAATTTAAATACCTAGCAGCTGATTGATGTAAATGAAATGGAGTTATCTCAAATGAGCGTCTTGCAATAGGTGATGTATTTGCACCATCTCGAGTATTTTTCATGATGGTTGGCGTGTGTATTATTTCTTTGTCTGGTTCGGGTGTTTGAAGCATTTTTGATAATCTTGATCGGCGTTTAACGGGTGATTCTCGTAGAGCTATAATTCAAAGAAAAAGAAAGATTCGTTAAATTATTTTTGAAAAAGTCTTCCTCTAGATGCAACCATCATAAAGCATTATATACACACAAACAAAACAAATAGACATGCATACATTCTATATGAAATCATTTCAAATCTCGATTCCCTTCATCTCCTATAGTTTTCGCTGTACTTTCGCGAAAAAGAAAAAAAATAATAATAAAACAACAATAAACAATATGACGAGTACACAGCAATGAAATAAACAGACAATAATTATCTTTTTTTCCTTTTACCAAGTAATGCAATAGTACGGAATTTTTTGGCATTATCACCTAAGATGGATGAAAAAAATTTCGACAATTGTTATTAGACAATCAAATTAGTCAGTAATAATCAATCATACAAAGATAAAAAAAACGGTATTATAAATCAACTCAACTTACAAATTTGATCCTCAGATAGATTAGCTAAATTTAGTTTTAAAGAAGAACTAAACCGAAAAAAGGAAAAAATTAAAATCTGATATTTACGTGGTGCTTTTTTAAACACAGTTGAAAAGAGAAATTTTTGAAATCTTTCTGAATAAAAACTTGGATTTGTTACTGATATTTGATTCTAGAAGAATTTAGAAAATAAAAGAAAAATCGATTTATCGAATAACTCAGTAATAAGTCTTACCCCATCAGTAAGAACGGATTTAAATGTATGTTCTAATTTTTTACGTATATGATAAGATTGTAAGATATCAATTATACCAACATAAAGTAATAGTCGTTGACCTTGAGCAGTTCGAGCTGGAATACCACCACTCCTGAAAGAATGAAAAATTATGTGACTAAAAAATTCTTTTCAAAAACAAAATCTGAATGCGCTTAAACGTCAAAGAAACTCTTTTGATTTGCGAGCGATTAGATCACGGCAATCAGAGTACCGAATGTTTGATAAAAATCATAGTTCCTACGTCATTTGTCACAGATCTTAATTTGTAAATATATGATTCTATTGCATTGAATGTTTTGCAAATATAACGATATTATATGAACAAATGAAAATTTCTCTTATTCTATCGACTCGTTCGCGTAAGTGTTAATGAAATACTAAAATTCGTAGTATGACTTTATCAAAAAGTTATGGGAATATTTTAAGACAGAACTATTACTAACTCTAGTTTGAGACGTCATACCTGATTAGAAGAGTTTATTAAGTTTCCTGAATTAGATTTTTAGTTATTTTCTAGACTTCTCTAGGCTAATTATTTTGTCTAGTTGTTACTCTCAGGACCTACGGGTGTTGCTTTCGTAAATGCAACAATAGCTAATGAATGTTTGCTCTCTCTCTCTCTCTTTCTCTGTCTCGTGATTAAAAACTAGGTCTAAATAAAGCTTTTAAAATGATTACAGGAGGAAGTTATTTTTATTTATTATAACACGTAATAGTGATAGATGAGGTTATTTTTAAAAATCCAGGTAAGCTAGAAGCCAGATAAATAGAGTCAATTAACTTATATAATGAATTCAAAGTTATATTTACATATCTCTTTTATAAACGCTTTCTTCTTCTTCTTCTTCTTCTATTCTCCACTGCTACTCGTTATCATATAACTCAACAATTGTGAATACTTCACGATGTGTATTCAAATTATTAGAGAGAGAGAGAGATGTGTAGGAGGAAAACAAAACAAACGAACTTACTTGACTAGATGATCATCAGGTTTGTTATGTTCATCAAATTCAACTTGAATAGTATCCATTGGAGTTGAATACATCATTCGTTTTGGTTGTACAGATGTTTGTTCTTTAGAAGGCAAAAAAGCAAAGTCAAATATTGATTTTCTTTTTGTAACATAATCAATTCTATTTACCGCTAGGTGTAAGCAATAAATTTGCAGCTGCACGATCCTTGAACATACAAGATAATTGAATATGTCATACACAACTTCTGATTACTTACTCCTCCAGATTCTGCCGACGCATCAACATGATGAACGCCAATTAAAAATGAATAGTCCATGATACGAAAGCTTTCGAGTACCTAGAATATTAATAAGCATGCGTTCGTTTTTTTTCTTTCATTATTTCTGTTCATTTAACTAACTCGACAATCTCGTTGAACAGTTTTGGCAAGAGCATTATAGGTTTCAACGTCAAGTAATAAACCGTCGGGATGTCGTTCCATAAAATCTAAATCTTTCCATGTTGGAGAATCTTTACGACGTTCTGCACTATTAGCTCGACGTTTATATGTTGAACCCTTGAGGTCATAGGTTTCGTGCATTTGTAGATAAGACGGAATTAAATTGTTCATTACAGTTATGCGAATATTTTTATTATCACCCTAAAAAATAAAAATATAATCAAGACACTTAAATTTAAAAGGAAAAATTAATATAGCAAAGCAAAATACACAGGCGTTATCGAAGCCTTCACCTTGCCGAAGAATGCCATCATCTCATTTCTGGTTGATTCAACTTGAAAAGTATATAGAAAAAAATAACTTTAATGCGTATATGCAAATCAAGTCGTTTTCTCTAACCCAAGCAGGCAAAATTTTTCAGAAACGCGTTTAAACACTCAATCGGGAACCGCGATTGTGGGTCATTAACGCTCATTAATGAAACGCAAGAAACGCGTTTTTTACGCAGAATTCTCGCTTTCCGAACGTGAGAACGAATAAAAACTCCAATTCCGAGCGTTTAACCGCACAATTCTTCGATAAATTAAAAACCAATTCCTTTAAACGCTCGGAATTGGAGTTTCTATGCGTTTTCGCGTTCGGAAAGTGAGAATTCTGCGTAAAAAACGCGTTTCTTGCGTTTCATTAATGAGCGTTAATGACCCCCAATCGCGGTTCCCGATTGAGTGTTTAAACGCGTTTTTGAAAAAGTTTGTCTGCTTGGGAACTAATCCATCAAGATTCTAACAATACGTTCTACGCATAAATAGGTTGAACGACAAACGGAAAAAGAAATATTAAAATCACTTCAAACTGTTTTCTTTTTGTTGATCAGTTTCAATAACGTTTTTTTTTCTTCTTCATTATTATCCATAAAACACACAAAAACAAGAACCAATCAACTAGAGAGAAATCCCTACTTGTACAAGCTTTCACTTACGAATCCGTTATTTTTATTTGGCATGAATTCTGTGACCTATATACACATAAATATCTGTATCTATTCTCTCAATCTGTTTTTCGGTTTTTGATTATTTTACTAGTAAAAAATCCAACTCTTTACATTATTCAAATTAAAAGAGATTTCTATTCATACCTGATAGCAATAAAGGCCAAAAAATTTCGGCAGTAAAGTACGCGGATTTTGTGTAACATTCTACAACATAGAGTCACGTATATAACGAAAAAATGTTAAAAACACAAACCATATAATAACCGGGAAGGAGACATTTCAAAAATTCGGCCTCCTTCTTCTGTACTGTTTTTAAAATAAATTCATCATCTGATGTTAAATAAAATAAACTTCCACTTGCACCTGGATTTTTTAATTCCCTTAAAGGCTTGCATATAGAATACTAAAGCAAAACACAGAAATCAATAACGAAACCAAATAGACTATAAAAATTCTCACTAAAAATTCATCTGGCTTTATATTAAATAATTCTCTAAAATGTCGAAATGCGACAGGAGCATACGAACGTATGGTAAAATCATTGAAATGATGTGCAGGTGTTGTTTTAGTTCCCTCTCTATTTAACAGAAACAAAACAAAAACTTAGTTTTTCAACAGAGAAAATAATCGTTACTTCGGAAAATGTATTATTTCAACAGTAAGAAAATCCTGATAAAGTACATCATGTGCAGCTTTTGCTTGAAGGCCACCAACCGTATATTGTATGCCTAATTGTAATGCTTCAACAAGTTGTGTTATAGGTAGCCGTTTAAATGTAACATTTCCTTGCATGTCAACACGTAAATGTCCAAGCTTGTGTTTTTTACCTTTTTCAAAAAAAAGTATTCATAAGTTATTTACTATCTCAAAAAAAAAAGAACTAAATCTCTTACCAATGTCAACTCCATCAGTATCTTCATCTTCTGTTGGATCAATGTGTACCTTTTTTAAAAAAGAGCAAATTTCAATACAACAAATTGTATTAGAAAAATACTTGAACTGATTGCGCTATTGTCGACATAATTTTAAAAACAACATACACAATCAACTGTTTAGAATAAAACAGATATCATTCAATCATATAGTATTGATGTCATTCTTAATCTATTTTATTTTTCTTAATACGTCATTGATCGAACAATCTAAAAGATTTTTGTTTTTAAATGAGAAATGGATTATATGTAAGAGTAATAAGAAAAAACAAACAATAGTAAACAACAGAACAGAAGAAAAAAAAATAGTGTGTAAACGGCTGATAAAAAGAGAAGAACAAAAAAAGAAAAAAAACACAAATCTAATTAACCAATCGATACGAAGAGATAGAATATCCATAGATTGCGCATACTAGAGCCATCTTCTGGAGTAAAAAACTCGGATTGTTTTCTTCTCCTGAAATCATAAGCAAGAGATCTTCTTTCAAATAATACCCAGCTCTGAAATATTATTTCAGTAGTTATTTGGAAAAGGAAGAAATTACAAATACATATTGATTAGTTAATAATGACAATCAAACTCAAATCTCAAAGGACTGATTGATATGGTTATGTGATGTTACTGTGTTCTCTTTAAACGGATTAGTCACCTCGCATCATTGATGTAAAAGGAGCTAATCATTAAGACAAAGTATGATGATTTATATATTCAATGTCAATGATATATAAATATGATTAATTTGTCGATGAAGTAAATAGAAATATGATTTTTTTTTAATTGAAAAGAAAACATACATGTGTTGAAGGCAATATGAGAAATATCAAATATCGAAAAGTGTTTTTTGTATAAGGTCTTCACACGAACTGAAGATGAAAAATATGAATTGTACCGGATAACATTAAACTACTGGTGCTTGTTATTGATTCAATAAAAAAATAAAAATAAACTTGAAGAGTAATGCTATTGATGTCAGGGTAAAGTGGAAATTAGATTTTATTGTCCTTCAGCCATGTGCGGCTTTTACTTCTTTTTTCATAAAAACATCTAACTTCTATTTCAAGATTTTTAATAGAACTCACGAAACATCATTTAACTACTTCAATAAAAAGAAAAGAAACAGAGGGCTATAAAAATAGCATAACTATGTTATAGTAGGGGACAAAAGTTTCCATCAACCCTCCTAGATCTCAACTACCACAAACGCTGGAGGTCTGAAAACTTGTGTGCAGATAATCCATCAAGAATATAGATAAGAGCCATGATCTACTTCCGATTGTGAATATGAAACGAAAATTATGACGGATGATAATGGAGAGCACTTATTGTTCCTTTGAACTATATATTTCCAAAAGGAAAGAGCTACATATGGTTCAAATAATTCCTCATAATTCATGGTTATACATCTATCCTATCAATTTGATTGCAGCTCATAAATCCTTATTAGAATTGTGGTCATTTACTGTGACTATTCGAAGAGCGGAAAACTCCCCGTTGAAACTTTTTAAAGCATAACTGAATGATTCTTCTATAAATTGAGCTTAAACTTCTACAGAAGGTTTGCTTGTAGCTGAACATTATTATTTGCAAGTCTCATGATTGAAGTATTGTCCAAAGAGAAATAGTGTGCCATGCATAGTTATGTTGGCGCTAAGGACTCAAAGATCTCCAGAGGTAGCAATTTTATAGAGAATAACATAATCTTTTGAGTGGATAAAGACCCTACATCGTGCTTCAGTCATACACTAAATAGCCAGAATGAATTATGCATTTGATAAAAAGCATCGCAAAATTTCATAGACAGTTTTTTCAAGCCAAAAATGTTGCAACAAAAACGGTCCTCTTCATTGTGGTTCTGACTGTATTTGAGCAATTGGGATGAGCTCATAGCTCTGATCTATATTCTTGATAGATTATATACACACAAGTTTTCAGACCTCGAGTGCTTGTGATAGCTGAGATCTAGGTGGGTGGAGACTTTTGTCCTCTACTGTATATAGTTTTATCTACTAGTTATTGAAAATTAATTCTAAAGCAATATGATTTTCCACGATAAGTCGTTATTTCGTACTATGAATCTCAATTTCATAAAACAAATTTCTTTTTCTTACATCCTATCTTAATTTCGAATGCTAATTTGACAAATATTTACTAACCTATTTGATTAAGAATAACTTTTCTGCAAGAATAATTTCAAGTTCTTAAAATAAAATTTTTCAAGCTTTAAAAATCTACATAATATATCAACGCCTCTCCTTTGAAAATCGTCAGCTACCTTTTTTCAAGTAGATTTACAGTTCCAATCTAGAAAAAGAAACTAATTAATTAATGGAAGTCTCTTCGATTCTATCCGGTGCGACGATTCTGCTCGGAAGTTCTCTTTTTATGCGAAAGAATTTATTAAAAGAAGCACGATACAAGTAACTTAATCTTCTTTGCATAAAGATAAGCCATCTATACATGGAAAATTACTTATTTTGTCGTTGATCAATATACCATTCATATGTTTATCAGAGATGTGCCGAAGAGAAAAATGTTGGGACGTGCTGAAACTTATTTTTTTTTACATCTTATGATCTTTTCCTTTGATAGAAAAAAACGGAAAAAGTATCCGGCCAAAAATATGGACACGATGTACTTTCCTTTACACCATGAATTTATCGTTATGAAAGAAAAAGTTTCAAGTACTTAAAATTTCCTTTTTTTTGCTAAGTGATAATTTTGATTCACATTGTTACAGCAATATTTCATCGTCAAGACATAAGTGAAAAGAAATTTCAAATTCTTTTTATTGCAAAAAATCACTTTGTTGTTCTTTATTTTTCATCGAATTTACACTAAAGAAAAAAAAAAAGAAAATAGAAATGATAAGATAATTCATTGCACGTTGAATCATTACATAAAACAAAATGAGACAATTATATCTATCTTTATCAATCTTGTACTTCTTTATATTTGATATCGAATAGATTGAAATGCATCTCGAATTTCATCTTTTGTTTGCTTCTATTCAATTTCATTCAGTCGTCCTTTTTTTCTTCTTCTCCTAACATACCATGTATCATTTATTGATCTCGACTTTGATCATACTTTCAATAAACTACTTCGCTCATTGTTCGTATCACTATGTTGGCTGTTATACACAAGTATTTCATGATAGCTATTTCGTAAGCTCATTTATGGAACCAACATTATGTTTTCGTCTATGTGATACACCTGTAATTTATCTACAGAGCACAGTTTGTCGTTGTGCTGGCGGTGGCCTCATGCATTATAGTCGACAAAATGATGACCTATGTAAAATACCATGCGCAAAACCGGTTGATCGTTCAGTAAAATCATTGAATACATGTGGCGGTTTATCAACATATTCAGCATATGTCGAAGATAATTTTTTTACTCGACATGGACATTTGTTTGATTATCAAATTAAATTTTCCGCATGCGAATTGTGGAAAATTTCCGATATTTATGATATAGAACAAATAACGTTACCTGACGTTGTTGCACGGTCATCTCTAAATAGATTAGAACGATGTGCTGCTGCATGTTTAGATAAAAATGTAACAACAAAATCGATAGGTAGATATTTAATTCTCTTTAAACAGCAGTGTCCCAGGACTGAGAAATAGGAATTCCTAATGTGCCGAAGAATGTCAGTGTCGCTGTGATAATTCCTAGAGGAAATGAGAATCAACCATAGGTTCCCTCACAGTTCCACCAGTCATGAAAGTCGCGATATTGCTGTTTTAAAAATAACTTTTGCATGAAATCATTGATGCTCACAATTTTGCAAGTGAAAATGAATGTAAGAACAAAAATTATCGTGAATATTCCATATTTTTTACCTTTAGTACGCAAGGAACTGTAGGGGAGCTGATGAGGAATTCCTAATCCTCAGTCCTTGGACACCCCTCGATTTGTCTAGTTTCAATAGAACAATCTATCATATGACGAAATGTTTATTTCAAAACAATTAATGAACGAGCATATTTTTAGGTTACAATGAAGATAGCAGCAAATGTTCATGTATAATGGTATTGAGAAACAGTAGACAATTTGACCGAAAAAATTACATACAAAGTTTACCAAGTACCGCATGCGATCTTTATTGCAATAATACATTTGAAGGTTCGAAAATTTCACTTAAATATCAATGTGGCTCATTGAACAATTCAAGGGTATGGGCTATCTATGATATAAATGGCACGTGTCCAGTGGATTTCGCCTATATACCAGAATTAAAAAAATGCGTATCTACAAAGAAATTTGTTTATAGTGCATGTGACCCACCAGCAGTTAGTTATGTCTATGATGGAACTGTAACATGGGATGTTTTCTTAAAAGTGATAGGTAAATTGGAATTGAATAGTACCACTATTTCCATGGAATTTCACGAGGACGTTGTGGTCGACCGAAAATGGAAATGCACCAGCACACTATCAACAACAACAGAATCCGATCTTGAATTGAAATCTTATTTGGGAAGTCCAAGTTATTCTTCGAGTAACTACTGGGGTGGAACATCTCGCAATAACGAATACTCATATTCTAATTTAAATAGTTGGCGTAGAGGCTCATCTTCGTATGGTTGGCAGTCAACCTACCGCTATATTTTAAACAAAGGCTGCTTACTTGAAGTTCCATCGTCATCTTTTGTAAGTCGATATTCGCATCGCTTATGTACAACAGATTCAGTTAATAAATATTCGTCCAAAAACAGTGAAGCTAATAAAACTTATATTGCTTCTGTGAATCCGCAAATAAAATATTGTCCTACTGATTGGTTTGATTTAAACGGACGATGTTATCGTATTTCAGAGGAAACTAAAACCATTGAGCAAGCACGAAACAGTTGCGCTAGTGCAGTTGGTGGAGGTGAATTAAGTAATACAGCAACAAGTGACATAGTTAAATATGTATCAGAATGGCAAGCTAGACTTGGATTTTTTCTTCTGGATACAGATCCTGATAGTGGTATGAAAATATTTCATTTTCTCACAACGAACATACGATACGTTTGTTCTGCTTTATATAGATGACAAAGATCCAGATGCAACAACAACAATGAAAAGTTTTTATTATGATGAAGCTGCAAAATTAACGGATAGCAATGATACATCTCTTCCCGATCATGAAGCCATCAATGAATTTCAATTAATTGATGCAAGTGACAACAAAACTTCAAATAACACATGTATGATTATATCACGTGTAATAGCCGAAGAAGAAGAGCGACCATCTATTATAAGTCAGCTGAAGAAAAACTGTACGAAACCAAGGCATGTTCTATGTGACACAAATACATTGGTTGTTGAAAAATTTCAAGTCAGTTGTTTTAGTAAGCCATACGTACTTGATTTACCAGCATTAGTATCAAAAACTCAACTAACACATGAATTATGTTTATCCGTATGTCAAGAATTACAAACAAGATTAGCTATTTTGCATATGGACAAATGTTATTGTTTAAATGGTATTACTAACGGCGTTTTAAACATCACAGTAGATTTTGAAAAATTTCGACAAAAATCTTGTGGAAATCCTTGTCCAGGTAATTATCGGATTGTGTAAATGCAATAGGATGAATAGCGATGTTTTTATGATTGCTTTTTACGAGATTGTGAATAGTTGAATTTCTTTCTGTACAGAGATTATTGTCAACGGATAAAATATTTCTTGCAAATTAGTTAGTCTGCCCGATAAAAAATTAAAAGTCTACAGCAAGAATTTTAAAATTACCTACGAAAGATCTACACACGATGGAATCAATAGTCTAACATTGCATCAATTTAGATAGCTTTCAAATATGAAAAAAAGAGATTGATATCTTACTCGATGTTAAGCGAGATGCAGAAGAAATTGAAGCAAATCGCAACATGACTCGGATGAAAAAGGCCTTGATTTCTCATATATTGTGTTTCTCTAATGAATCTATTAAATTGATATGCACTGATTGTAATCATAAACTAGATGTTGCTTTGCTGACTAAATCGAAACTAACAATCGATTGTCTACGATGAATCGAGAAACGAAACTTGATGCAATCATTAAGGTCAATCATACCTTTTGCTTCTTCGTTTTTCATTAGTATGATTAGAAGTATTCGAATCTATTCATCATCAATACTTTCTTTCCAAGTCTTAACATCTTCGTGTTCATATCTTAAATTTTAGAAGATGAAACATGTTTAGTTAATCTGAAAATTTTACCATATAAACAGCCTATTTAGATTGACTTTCATTAAGAATTGTAAAACGTTCAGGCTCGTGAGTTTCTTGAACATAATTACCAAACGTTCAATAAAACTGTACTGACAACGAAGTTCGCACTGAGAAGCGAACCAACACTTAAGAAAATTTCTCTGCTATTGAAATTAATTTGTTACAAAACAGTTTCTTTAAATCTACTAGAAACAAAATTATTTTCTTCTTTAGGAAATACTAATGAATTGTGTGGTGATAATGGTACAATAGTTGTTTATCAAATTTTGAATTCACGTCGCACACAAGCAACTGTGCGTAAGCCACCTGAACCATTTCCACTCTTTGCTTATGATAGCTGCATAAGTTTACCATCGTTTGATCAATCAACAGTCTATCAATTTAAACTGACTAATAAGTATGATTTTCATCCACGGTATTGTTTAGAATTATGTGCAAAATATAAACAGAAATATGCATTAATCAATGATAATGAATGTTTATGTACGAATCGTGCCCTGAAAGGGGCAGATCCCGATGCTGAAATATTAACTGGACAATCTTGTTCTCAACCATGTGCAAGCAATTATTTTTATACATGTGGAAATAAAATGAATGTCACTGTATATTCAATGTATGTATTACAACCAAAATGTCGACATGGTAAAATTTTCGATTTATGTTTTTTGTTCTAATAAAGAAACGAATACGCTTCTTTCTTTTTAAATTAAGGTTATCTTATTGCTCAAAATGATGAGCAATGTGTTTTTAGTCATTTTTCTGTTAAAAAAAATTCTCTCGCGGAAGCAAAAAGTTATTGCGAATTCATCGGAGGTACATTAGCAAAGATCAATGATACTGTTGAACTTCAAGATATTCTACCGGAATCCATTTTGTATACGATTCTCATACAACGATTTCGTTTGTCGTATAAGTTTCGACTTGTTAACGATACAAGATATTATTGGATCGATCGTACAACAGATATAGCCGATGAGAAAACAATATCAACGCGTTTACTAAAGCAATGTTCGACAATTCCGGAAAATGTTAATAGAAATTGCATTGCAGTAACAAGTGTACCGAACAACAATGACGATGAAGCAAGCGATGAAAGATGTATTACTGAATCCAATGAATGTACAAAATCATCAGCTATGCCAGTGTGTGTTGATAAAAATTTAGAAAGTAAACCAACATTGATTCAACCAATTAAAGATGGCGATCAAACGTCAGTAACAGTTGATGTTATAACCAGTTATGAATGCGATGACCCAAAGAACGAATATCATTTAATAGATGATTATTGCTATAAAGTTTCCGATCATAAAACAAGTTGGAAAGATGCTCAAGAAGAATGTCGCCGTGATAATGCTATGGTATTTATTCCTGAAAAATCTGTTTCATTACAATACGTAAAAACCTTGTTTCTACGTCAACAAACTTATTCATCATCAGATGTTATACATGTCGGCGTTCATTATGATATGTTAAATAGAACAGTTATAGAAAGTGATGTAAAAAATAATGCTACTGTATCAATTGTACCAGATTCTAACGCTATTTATGATATGTGTGAAAAAACATTTCATGAACGTTATGCCGCGCTAATGTCATCGACAAGTTTAACAACAAGCGAAAAGAATGGTTTCAAAACACAGCAAATTGGTTGTGGATACATGAATTTCGGGTTAAATTCTATACCAACTGTTTTATGTGATGAAATACCTTGCAATCTAACAGCAACTGTTATATGCCAAAAACTACCAACTAGTATAATGAGTAGTAATATTAAAGCAAAACAGTTAGTTTAAAAACAAAAGAAAATGAAAACTTTTCTAGATTCTGTTTTTTTTCCTTTTTCTAGAGAATATGTTAATTTACCACCGACTGAGTCTGTAACAAATATTGCATCGACTACACTTGTAATCAATACGGAACCATATTCACCAACGGATGCGTCTCAAGATGGTACAACTGAGAAATCTATCGATGATCATAGTACTAACAATGAGACTGATAATGATAATGATAATGATAGTGATAACGATACAGGCTCTATTGGAAGAGATTTCGCTCCATTATTTTTAATTTTAACTATTGCCTTTCTTCTTATACTACTTGGTGTTATAAGTACAGTATACAATCATCGTAATACAATATTTCGTCATGTTCCACGACGTAATCCGAACTCTGTTTATTCTCAATTAACATCAGCAAATGAATTTGATTTAAATTGAAAATAAATATTCAAAAAAAAAGAAATGTATAATTCAATAGTTTTGTATGATATAATATATATATATATATATATTAACAAGTGAGAATATACAGTTCAATATTATTGAATCTCATCAAATGACAAAAATAGAACAGATGGAAATAAAGTAGAAGAAAGAAAAACACATCTTTGTATACTCAAGTTATTAAAAAATACTATTGTTTACATTCAATATTAAGTGTACTTGAAATAGGAGAGAATTTTGACTGTGTATAATAATATTTATAAGAAAAGAATTTTTTTTTTATTGGTTAAAATGAAAGTTTCTTAGCAAACAGGAAAAAGAACGTCTCTCTACGACTAGAAGTCCTTGCTGTTCTTCATTTTCAAATTTTTGGAGTTGAGATTATATACAATACTTACTTTTCTTTTTAATGTCTCTTATATGTATATGTATAGAGTGTCAATAAAAATAGAACTACACAACTAAAGGATTAAATAAAACGAAAAAGAGAATAAAAAAGGAAGAGAGATTTTCATTTTCTCTTATCGATCTTATTATAAAATGAATGCTATGATTTTTTTCTCGGCAATACATACTATTTTAACATTCATCTCATGTTTACTATAGAACATTGTATTTACTTTGGGCGTTAGAATACATAGCAACGTTCATATTAAACGATTAATTGCATTATTAAGCAAATAATATTTGGAAAAAAAATCTCTTAATTTAAAAATCATATTATCTGTAAGTATCGAAGTTGATATTGTCAGATTTTTTATTTCAATTTATTTTTTATTAGAAAGATTTATTTTTAAAAGCTTTTTAACAACATGATACATCGTCTCCTTATGGTTTTACGCTATCGACGAGCAACTTATACTGGTTTAACAACTTCGTTTACTCGAGTTTTTATTCAAGTTTTCTATTTACCTATCAGTCCACGGCAAATTTCAAACTATTTCTAGTTTCTTTATGTACATACACTTTTCTTCTGTCTTCAATTGATTCACATGGAAAATTCGTCTATTTTAGGAAATTATAAAATTATTTCTCTCAATAAACCATCTGTCAAACTGGATACTCGAACGAATCTCGGGCTAATTTTCAATGTAGACGACGAAAATCAACGACACAAAATAAAACAATCAAGTAAGAACTATCAATACGCGTACGCCTGCATGTGCATATTTTAGAATATTAAATTAGTTTAGTACAACTGAACATACTTAATTGCCTTTTTTCATTGTACGGGCTTTTTCTTTCTATACAAATTCTCTCTCATATGTAAATGAGAGTAAACCACCACTTCCTACACTTGTTAAAATAGTACGAGAAGGACAAATATCTTGCCTATATGTATATGTATTTTCAGGGTTAGCTTCTTTTTCTTTTATAGTTCAATGTTAATGCATAATCATCGACTTGATTAAGTAGTCGAAAAAGTAGAAACTTCTACTTTCAATATTAACTTTGAGTACTCGAAAAAGAAAAGAAATTCATGAATGACTTCTGTTTTGAAACATCTTGAAAACGAATAATTCTCCTTTGATTTTTCATATTCAAATTAACATTTCAAGAAGAATTAAGATAAGATAAGAATAAAGTCAATAGAATTTATTTTTCTATTTTATAGTATAGCAGCAGTCAGCTTTTATTTCATCTAAACGTTTCTTTCTTTCTTTCTTGCTTTCCTTTTGTTCATTTTGTCAAATATCTATTGGTGAATTAGTCTCATATGTGCGTGCGATATCTACTACAATAAAATGAAACGCTTTGATGCTATGTCTCTAAAGTAATACTAGAAGATCAATGATCGATTGATCAAGTAGAAGCACTAGACAGACACAAGAACACACGCCATATATATATATATATATATATATGTGTGTGTGGATTAGATCGGCTGAATATAAAATCAAGAATAAGAATGAATTGTTTAAACAGTAAGATACAGGAGTATGATGAATACAAGTTGAGTATCTCATCTTTCATCTTAACTGGATGAACGATAACGTGCCATTTAAATATAATTATCGCGCTGGTATAAGAATAATATTGAAATACTTTTTGATTTCAATTAGTATCATGAGAAACGAAGCGTATATTCATTGTGAATAATGAATTTGTCTCAGCTATTATTATATTCTATATCTTTTATGTGACTTTATAGGCGTGTCCGATTTATCAGTATAAACTACCAATATTACTAAGCGTGAAAATTTGTCCTTGCTCTCACGAATCTTTTTTCTATCAAGGATGCCCTTTCATGTTCTAAATACGTAGAAAAAGTGTAAGAGTGATATTATCTTTGGTCAATGTGTTCAATCAGTATTCTACACAGTATGAAGGCTTAATCGTATACTTGTTCATGCCTTGTCCTCTCCTTTTTAATAGAATCTTTTTCATAAAAAAGAATCAAACCCAATTATAATCGACTTGCACTCGTTCAAAAAAAAACAACGATCACTGACACTGAACAAGGTTGTTTTTATCCCTGTAGTTCAGTGATTGCAAACAGTTCATAAGGAACTAATCTGGATAGTTTTTACATTATTTATTTATTTATTTATTTAGAATAAATAGCATATGGTCAATTAAAGAATAGAGAGATCGGGCTATTACATATTAATAATATCCTTGTATCGACATGGATGTATCTTATATGTCACTCTGTTGGAGTAAGCAAAGGCTAATAAGAATAAATATTCTTAATGGATGGTTTCCCCGGTTAGAAATAGGAACAAAAGACATAATCAATAATCTATAGTTTTGTAATCATAACAACAAAGATTGTTTGAGCATAGGAATAATCGGAGCGGACGTGTTTATTGTGCAAATAGATGAGAAAGTCAGGATCCATCTGCTGTTTCTCATCATCATCATCGTCATCGTCATCGTCGTCACCGTGTATGTGAAAATGTGCTATGCTTTATTGACATATCGATCATAGTGTGTGTATATTTGGTGTATCCTGTTCAATAAGTGTATGCGTAATATCTTCTTCCTTTTTTCCTTCGTCTTTGTGTCTTGCTCTCTCCCTCTTTTTTTTATCCTTATCTCTTAGATCGAATAACGCTCTGTTGCTTCTCGGTTTTTTTTATACATTGCTCAGTCCATTGTTCTCTTATATATGTATATATATATATATGTATATGTTAAACGATGTAATCGAATAGTGAAGGCGACAGGCTCATCATCATTTATTAATCCATAGTAAGCATTTTACGCTAGGTTTCTATTTCGATACTTGGAATTGATACCAGATGAAATGAATATAACAGGTAAGTGAATAAACGTGTTAGATTAGAAGAATTTGCATAGTTGAGAGAATTGTTATTCTATCAATTGTGCATGAAAAACAAGATTTTTAATGTGTTAGAGTTTCGATTCAAACAAGCTATATTTTCATCATGTGACGTTTGTTTCAAGTATATTATATGCTTTCAAGTGGTTCGTATAAACATACACATAAACAACATTTTTGAGAAATGAAATTGTTTGAATATACTTATTCTGTTTGTGTCGTTTTCGTGGGTGCTTTCTTTGCGACTGTTTTGCCAATGAATGGAGTACTACACAAGGGCGCCAGGCTGAGATTTACTCTCTCTCTCTCTCTCTGCATAATTCATATTCAAGTCTGTTGATGTGTATGTTCGACGTAGAGTTTACAAGAAATGAATTTTTTGTAAATCTCACTCTCTTATCCTTTTTTACTTGATTACACCACGCTAAACTACGTATGATGAAAAAGCGAAAAAAAACGACTGAAAATTTCAGCATAGAAAAGAAAAGAAAAAAACCTGAGCCGAGAATAATCACTCAAAGTTGATCACTTGGCCGAGGCATATTGATGGAAAAAAAAAAGATTTTAGATTATTTGTATTTGACAATATGCTATGAAATTCGTTAAAAAAACAAAACTCATAAAATAAAACAGAACAAAAAGAAAAAACTCTTTCTTTTCTTCTATTTTTCTTGGTTATTGTTTGTTCCTAGTCAGACATTCAGTTTCTGTAATAATAATGTATTGTACCAATAAACCAGCAGTAGTAGTAGCAGAAGAAGACGACAACGAGGACGATGGTGGTATAGCAACAATGATAGGTGAGTACGGTGAAGAATAAAAAGAAAAAGAATTTACACTTGTCTAATATTGACTCATAGTGTTTCGTTTGTCATATTACAAATCTAGAGCGACTCTTCTTTTCATTTCTTTTTTTAATTCGTAATAGGAGAGCGTTTTTTTTTTATTCGATTTGTCAACATATGTATAAATAATTGAACACATGGGATAAAGACCTTTACTTTAGAAGATCAATTTTGTTCTGTTCGACCGCCTCGGGAGCGAAGAAACCACAACAGTAGTAACAATAACATTTGTTCAAATATACATTCTATTGACGAGACTGATCCTACTAAATATCAAACGACAAATCGATCGGCGTCTTTACCAGCACGACAAACATTTCCTTCGAATAAAAGCACCGAAGACAGCGTAGAAGAACGTCGACGATATGCAAGCGGTTCAAATAATCATAACAATAATAACAAGACTAAAACAACTTCATTAGTTACTTCATTTCTACAATATTTACGTAGCGAACTAAAAGCAACAACGAATGAAAACATAAATGATTATCAAAGAATTAGACAAAAGGTAAAAAGAAAAAGAAATCTAGTTTGCTTGTCAATATTTTTTACCTTATTAATCTTTAAAAAAAAATGATTTTTTTTTATTGATATATATTTATGCATCTTATCGTGAAGAGTCAAGAAAGAAAATAAAATATTTATAGTTAAATATTCACTCGGTGTTGTTTCAATCAAGTCAAATCACTTAGAATTCATTTCTTGTTCTTTCCTTTATTTCTTCTCCATTTTCAACTACCTCCGGTTTCAAATTCTAGAGAAAAATTTGCCTCTTTTTTCCTCTGTTATGAAATGTGACACGATACAAATCGGTCGTGCTTATACGATTTAAATTTTACAAAAAAAAGGATACACTTCTAAGGTTATTCTTCATTTTTTTTTGCTACGTCAACATAGATCATGTATTGATTCAGTACATTTTTCTAATTGAGCAAATAATTAAAAATCCTTCTCTCTCTCTCTCTCTCTCTTTTTTTCCGTTTGAATTATGTGTACAAATATGTATATGTTCGTATAGAAATCGTCTGAAACAATCGACTGTATATCTCAAACATTTTATTTAACAAATAATTCGCGTCGTCAATCGAATCGAAATCGAATGTCATCATTATCAGCATCATCGTCCTCGTCGTCTTCATTAACTCCTTCTTCTCCATCGATGCCTATTAGTTTGAATAAATTATCGAATGAGAATCTTTTAAAAAATACATTTGATAATGATCATACTGCCGATGACAATGAAATTTTAACATTAATCAATTTACTTATTCTACGTGTTGAATGTTTAAATAACGATAGTACAGTCGCTAATGTGACAAACACTAAAACGAAATCTTCGACAATTCGAAAGATCGATCAAAATCTAATTGAATACTTGTATTTTCTTTTTAATAAATTTGTTGAGGACGAATCCGATTCAAGTACTCCGTCTATAATCAATAAAACAAGATTCGTCAATGTTTGTCAAACATTAGTACGCGATGGTTCGCTTAATATTTCATTATCATTTTCATCACCCGACCATTCGTGCTCGGAATCGACTATTACAAATAACAGTGATCAAACATTAATGCAAACATTGGTACGTGAGTACAGACCAGATGCAGATCTAATGACAGCAAATCATTCACCGATCAATAATGAACAAATTTCATCTATAACAATGAACGATGACGATACCTGGCTTATTGTTGATTTAGAACAGATAAAACCACAAGACTCAAAGCCATCGTCTGATGCATTAAAAGTAAGATTCTCTTTCGCTTCGCATAAATAAGAAGCAACTTCAACTTTTTTCTCCCTTTCAAATTTCAATTGGGGACACTCATTACAGATTTTTCTCATAGACGTAATTTGCGATTTTCTACTTATCAAAGCTGATCGGCCGGTCTCGATGTGAAAAGACAAATCATTAATATTTTCGACATTTTCTATTTAGAAGAAATTAAAAAGAAGGTGACAGTCTAAGGTCGTTTTACAGTAAGCGATAAACTTTTTTTGAAACGAATAGATCTCTATTCGATTAGGAAAAAATTTTAAGCAAACATTTGCGCATATTTGTCAATATTACCTCTTCGACGAGTCATATTACTCATGCAAATATAAAACTACGAGATAATCATCTCTTTAATGATATATATCATAAATCTTTGCTTTGAGAAGAAAAGGATTATTTCTTTTTTCTTTTTCTTTCTTTCTGAGTGTGTGTGAGTATTTTACACATGAAGAAACAATTTACTATTTTACAAACTATAAGTAGAAGAAAAGATAACGGAAAATATCAATAGCCAGTCCCGTTCGAAAATAAATTGTCCATTTAACGAAACCTTTAACTAAAAGAAATAATCTTATCTTTCCAGTTATAGTTCTAACCTTTCTAAATCAATTAATTTAATTCTCACATTTGTCCGATGACAGCTAAAGTGTAAGAATAATAAAGAAATGAGCAAGATTTTTTTCTTGCATAGCTATTCACGCCTACTCGAACATAAGAAAGTTGCGTCATACAGACAATTACCACCAACAGCGTTACTTTTTTTTTCTTTTTCTCGGATATGCAAGAGTTGTAGTATATATGAGACACGGTACATATATGAGATAGGTAATATATTATTTTTGTCTTTTTCTATTCTCTAGTGTCTATTATTATCAACAACCTCCGATGATCAATTATTACCAGCAAATGAAAATTATTTTTCCGTTGATGAAGTAAAATCGTGCGAATCCGAATCTTCACATAGTAACTATTATTCACCGGATTCATCGTTGGTTGATACTGAAAACATGCCACAAGAAGCAGATGAAACAAATAATATTAATAATAACAATAATAATACTGCAGTGTTCGATCAAGGTAAGCATGCTGTTTTTTTTCTCTACTACTACTACACCTTTAGCTTTGATGCATTATAATTGTGCATCTTACTGATCGCATAACATAAGAGGCAAAAAAAATACAGTTTATATGCTTTCTTCCAACAAGAGGTAGACATGAAAGAGAAAGAAGAAAAATCGTGAAGAAGCACATTTGTGGTCTGACCATGTTGAGACTATTTCAAAAGAGAGTCAAACAAATTCGTGGGTGATCAATATACTAAAACAATTCTTTTTTTTTCTTGTATTATTATTCTCTTATTCTATTTTAAATAGAAGGATCATCGTCATCAACAGAATATACTTCAAACAATACTAATGTCATTAAAGAAGCAAAAGATACGACAAGCAATAGCAACATTTGTACAGGCTTAACTCATGATTGCACTACTAATAGTAATGAACAAGTAGCTTCAGCATCATCTATAGACACAGTGGAACAGATGACAACGAGTTCAAGTGAAAAAATGTCTCGTCGTGAACGAAAAATGCAAGAACGTTGGACAACAACAACGAAAGTTAATAAAACCTGTCAGGAACAGCTGCCAACAAAATCTTTTCTTGGCGTAGAATTTCCACCAATTGCTGTACTTAGACGAAAATTTTCTTCATCGCCACCATCAAAATCAAATACATTACCAATAAAAAAGAAAGACAATTCTTCTAGTAAAACAAAAACATCAATGAAAAAAGAAGATAAAAATAATTCTTCACAAGATAACATCAGCAAATCGAATGGATATATTTCATTAACACCATTGAATCGTTCGATGTCATTACAAAATCAGGTTAGTCTATTCGAAAAAAATTAATCATAAATCGAAAAAAGCCTCTTCAATGTTAATCGTTGTTAGTTGAAAATGCTTTCAATGTTTGCACTCTAGTCTTAACATACAAAAAAAAAAAAAACATATAGTTATGCTAACCTTGTCGCTCGATTAACGTATCTGAATCAAGATTTATTTATGCATTCGCCAATAATTTTCGTTTCGGCTTCTATAACTTGTAAAAATTATCTATGAATCAAACGAAAAAGAAAAAGAAATTGATTTGCTTCTCATCACAATATACAGGGTAGAAATTCAATTATTTGTATCGATCTGTTGCCATGCATCGATAACTAATATGAACTAGCCTGAAGCATTGTTTTCTCTGTTAACGAAAATTAAATAGATAATAATTATGTACATATTAATTATGTGCTATTATGATTTCGCATTGAAATAGACGCAAAAATAAATGTTTTCAGAAGCCCATGAGAAAACAATTTTTATTTGTTGTATTCGGCTGACTGAACTTTTTTTATGTTTCTATTTCTTTTCATGAATTTTTAATAATGTCAGTTAATTTAACACTGTTATTCTATTGATTGGAAGCCAAATAATCTTGTCATCAACTTGACCGATTCCAAAGCTGAGTTATACAGCATGCCCTATGACTGTTTGTCTAACGATCGACACAAACGCATACGTAGACAGAAAGTAATTCATTTTCGCCTGACTACTACTACTAAAAGTCATTGTTAAAATGAACCAAATTTTCTTTTTTTTCATGTCTTTCGTTAATGTGAAGAACGATGTAACAGAAAAAAAATCTGAAAGATGATTTGTATATTCAAGTGCATTTCGTTTTATTTTCATTTTTAGGAGATTAACACCTCAATAACGACAGACATCGTCGACCAAACGAAAAATGAACATCAAGTACTTGATGATTTACAATCGAATGGTAAAGCTTTTGTATTATTTGTAAAATAACAAAAACACTAACGAAAGAGATTCAATGGGCCTCTTCATCATCACTATCAATTATAAGTCCATTAGAAGCAAAAGAAAAGTTTTCTATGTACATGAAAAAGGACGAGGTCAATGAAATTCTCGTCTTTTTTCTCTTTTTATTAATTTCATCTACTCTTGTCACTAATAAGATATGTCATCAATCGACTAGGCAGCCATTTCTCATTGATCGCTATCGGTCTCATTTATGACACATGACCAAGGATTGGCCATACCTTTCACACATACATGTACATTTTTTTTTTCTTTCTCATATATACTTATCATTACTTCATTTAGATACTTCGTCGATACTAATTTGTTATGATGGTAAAACCAATGATGATGCTCAACAATCATCGAAAATTATATTAGATTTATTAAGAGACGTGAAAAGTCTTCAGGAAGATATGAAAATAAAAACAAAACAAGACCTAACCGAATATGAAAATGAAATTTTTACACCTACGAACAACGATTCAGATCACTACGAACAGATGAATATAAACAATAACAATAATAATAATAATAATAACTCGAGAACGATCAATGATTCATGTGATTCACATTCACCTTCATCTTCTTTATTATTAAAATCTTCTTCGTTACTGACAAATGCAGATGACGACAAAACTATTGAACTTTTACCAACAGAAATTCTAGCAGTAGTAGTAAAAGAAGAAGAAGAAGAAGAAAAAAAAGAAGAAGAACATTGCGACGACGACAACGACGACAATGTTCGTGTAGAGAAAAAGAACCAGTGCGATGTCGAGCACAACAACCACCATGCATTGGGAACAATATTAATAAACGATGAATCAACACAGCCAGTTTTATTAGAACAAGAAAAAAAAAGAAAACGAAGAAGAACAAGAAAAAGAACGGCCATTACCTACATTAGAGCAATGCAATCATCAACAATTTGAAGATGAATCTTTCGTTAAGATTTTATCCAATAATTTAGAAAATAAACTAATTATGTCAAAAAATATTGATGATGATCATGAAGAACGATATAAAACAATTGAAATCGAAGAAATACCAGATGAAGACGACGAACTATCCGAAGTAAATAATCGATCGATTGAGCCTATCGATTGTATTCTTACCGATGATGAACTTCAACAAGTTCCACGGCAAACTTCAACTAAACCGGCTATCGTACCTACTGATGATAAAATTTTCTTTCATGATACTGTTATATCGTCTTATCAAAAGGCCATGCTAAAAATTATCGACACTGTTGATGATCCAATGAAACCTTCAAATTCATCATCGAAAGACTCACAAAGTCCATTAGTAACTACAAGCGCTCAACGTCCTGAAGATGATCCTATTGCTTTACGTGCATTAAAACGTTTTGAACAAAGTATGAATGCTGCTATGGCTACGAAAGGTGGCAACGACGATGTAAATGCATCCATTGCAAAAGGTAAATCTTCATGGTCAGGTACACTATCAGCTCCAAGAAAATCGCTTGACAACGTTTTTAAACATGATCAATCGAATTCGTCTGTAACTGATGAACAATCTACAACTAAAATAGCATCACCATTAATATCTCCGCGTGACGCTTTTATTCGACCACGTAAAACAATTCTCGATGATATTGGCATCAATTTAGGTTTGTCAAGAAATCTATTTGGTATGGTTCAAAACAATTCGACTAATGATGAGAACCATAAAATTGAAGAACAACAAATGCCAATAGCTATATTAGAAAATAACGTACAACAAGGTCAGTATATGCCTAACAGCTGCTTACAAAGCGTCTTGAAGTTGCTAGAGATGAGTATCCATTTACACTTTCGAATTAACATGAGTTGATAGCATACACACTTGTATACGTTGTCGTTACATTGGCTCCTGCCATTTTTTTTCTTTTGTACTCGACTTGAATGTTGATTAGAGACCTACTACTAGCTTGTTCTCTATTATATCCATTGTCTACTACTGTATGACATAAGCAACGGAGAGAATTTGAAAAGAATATGATCACACGGATATAATGTATCGAAAAAATAGAACAAAATTGATTCTTTTGTACAACACAAAAAAATAATTTATATTCACTACGGAAGTCTGTAAATCATTTTTAAAGATACTGATGAAAGTTTGGTTTCTTTCATTGTATGTGTTGATACGTCAATAGTTGTTAGTTCTGCCTAAGCTCGATATATTGAAAAGACATTTGTTTAATGATTTGAAAAAAAAGAAAGAAAGCAGGAGTGTACAACAGCGTGAATATAAAGCTTAGAGCAACAGGAAAAAAAAGTTCATATTTGCTTTGTGCGGTGCTGGTCTTTTATCATAACTGCCATGGCAGCAATCAAATATCTTTCTTTCGTTTTTTCACGAATAGAAGCGAAGAGAGTAATACGAGTCCTTTGGCTACCATCATCACTACTGAAAATGAAATTTATAATTTCTGTCTCTCTTTTTTTTTGTTCATTATGATTATTATCGCGTGATTGACTATCATACAAAGTATAGCTGCAAGGACCTTGATTAAATCTTTTGTTTCTTTATACGATTAACATCATTGCGTAGTATATAAGAAATTTTCTTTTAACGTTACAATTTCTATTTTATTTAGCTGTTCCAGGCGAATCTACGACGACTAATGATTCTGAAGGTCATCAGCAACAAGAAAATCCACCGGTAATTAATTCATCCATGGCAAATGAAAATGGTTACGGAAATGCAGCGGAAAATTTAAATTCATTAGTTACTTCAGCCGCCAACGGTTCGTTAAATACAGTGATTTCACACCCATCAACTGAGCAGCAAACGCTGTCTCCTTATCGCCTTCAACTTGAAGGTCGTCGTCGTTTGAATACACTCGAGCGTATGCGTGATCGCCATGAAAATCATGAATCCAATAGTGCAACTCAACAATTTCAAAACACGTATACCGTCAAACCTGAAGAATTACAAGATCCAATTATTCGTCGTGCACTCGAACGTTTCGATGAGAAGAGCCGTTCATTGGCACAAACAAAACCAACAAATTATGATGACATTCAAGATCCCATCACACGACGTGCATTAATTAGACTTGAAACAAACTTAAAGCGTACTATTCCACCGAATCCAGCAGCCACATTACCAGTAACAAATAATGATTCAAATGAAGCATGGTATACCAATAGTTATACACTTGGTTCATTGCAAACACATAATGATAGTCGTCCAATGCGTTATCCTGATTCAGCAGTACCTCTGGCATCATTGAATAGACCAGCTCACGTTTCTGTACATCAACGATTTTGTTCAACATCATCCGCCGATATGTCAGAGCCATCTACAAATAGTCAAAATTCAAATAATGATCATGACATACCAATCATGCGTGTGCCAGCACAACCGATTTATGTTACATCAAAGAATCATCACCAACCACTGCCATCCGGTAGCCTACGTCAACGTGCACATTCAGAAGATATGCTTTCATCTAGAGATATTACTATCAACGAAATCACAAATCCCGATATGAATAATACAGTTCAACTCCAACGGAATCATTCGTCGGATCAACTTCAAGAACAACAGCCGCAAGAAGTATTAACATCAAATGGAACTGATTTGCAAACAAATTCTACAATAATTAAATCTCTTGACCCGAATTTTGTTCGTACAACCGAAGCATCTGTTAATTATGCAACTCCAACACAAACATATTCCGCATATAGTTGTGAATATACTCGTCCACATCAAAATCCAACAGTAACATCTCCTAAAATAGAAGCATCGTCGCCTAGAAATTATCAACCATCAGTTGACAATGATGTTCGATATTCTAATGTACCATCATCAGCATTTACACCTGTTCATCCTTCTACAAATAATTATTATCCTCCTCCTCCTCCTCCTCCTCCTCCACCTCAACAACAACAACAACAACAATCACTACCTGCATCATCGTATGCATCAATGTATACAGCGAATAATCTTAATCAATCATCTTATTCTGATGATCCCATGTAAGTTTAAATCACGTTAACATAGTAGGAAATTTTCTTATTTCTTTTACTCTCAAGTGTTCGTCGAGCATTAGAACGTTTTAATTGTCAAATGCAGAATAGTCTTATGACCATGTCACAATGTCAACCAAATACAAACGGTTTGTATCGTCAAAATTCGAATGGTTATCCACGTCAGTCAAACTTCGATTCGTTCTATCCAACTGATCTTCAACCAAACGATCCATGGGCTAATTTCAATCGTCCTATACAACCACCACCAGCAAGTGCAACAACTGGTTATCAATCAATAATTGGTCGTCGTCGACAACTACGTCACGATGATATTTATCATGACACTTCAACTGTTGGCAACGGTTATTCATCGTCAACATTCATCAATGGTACTTATATGAATTTTTCAGATGAACCACCTGCGATTCCACCACGTTTACAACGTGATCTATTTCGAGAACAACAAGAATATCTATGTGAAAACGTTAATAACAACAACAATAATAATAATCTCTATATGCAACAAGTATATCCAACAGGACCCAATGGTTTTCGACCTATAAATCATTCCTATATGCCATCTGATTCTTTTCATCAATTTCAAGATGAAGAATATTTACGTCATCGTCCACAATCAACATCAAGTACCACATCATCAGATAGTGTTCATCCAATACGTTTAAATAAACAACAGTTACCTCCAACTTTCACACGAACCAATATACCACAAATTAAAAAAATCTCACCTGATGATTCACAAGTACCTTCAGGTAAAAATGTCAACTATAATTATTTTCTTCACATTCTATCTTCTAGGTCATACAACACCAAGCAATGGTAGTACAGCAGATGATTCTGTATTTAATCGTCTTGCATATACAGCTACAAAATCTTCATTATCAAAATCGAGTTCTAATCTATGTGCAAATTTATTAAATAAACCTCCACGACAAGAACAACCTAAACAAAATAATCTAAAAACATATGAAATCGAATATGATGATTCACCAAATATTCCAAACAAACAAGATTCCATGTCAACATCAACAAATCTTACAAATAAATGCCAACGTTCAAGATCAGTTGATGGTCGTGCACGTTTAAAAAATGCTCAAGCACGTTGTAATAATCACAATAATAATAATAATAATAATAATAATAATAATAATCATCGTTCAACAAATGATTCTGATGATAATACTTCGACAGCTGTTCCATCATCGAAATTCACACCAGCAAGTACTCGTCGTGATGCACCACCACCACGTATTCCTGTTACACCTCGAACAGTGCATAATGATCGAACACCATTAACAAAACGTGTAGCCAGTGGACATAATTTAGCATATACAAGAAATGCAAATGGAATGCGTGTGCGAAATTCTCATGGAAATTTAATGGATACCGATAATGATGAAAATCTAGCCTTTCATGATCATTATCAACCTAAAATAATTGATAATAAATCACGTACATCGATTCCTACTCATCGTTATGCAACAAATCACATTCAATCATCAGCGTCAACATCATCTGTTACTAGTACAATATCTCGAAACAAAGTTTCCATACTAGGAAGTCTGGATAAAAAAGATTCCAATGCATCTGGTACCGATCTTCACAGGTTAGAATTATGATATAGGTCAAAATAGTAGTTTCTACTTTCATTCTGGAGAGCTCTCGAGTTTATTTTTTATTCAGTAGGAAATAGAGCAAAGAACTCCGTGTTGAATCAATCTAAAATATTCTCTTAGTACTTAACTACTTAGCAATTTGAGTAAAGATATTTTTCATACCTTTAGATCTACGAAACGTCCCGAAGAAAATCGTCTTGTTTCTCCTGCGGGTCAACGACGAAATGTTCCTGTTTCAGTTTTTTCATCAGCTAAACATGAAAACAAACGTCCTGTTCCATCATCATCTACTAGTCCAACTAACGATTCTGGTTCAATAAATAATGATGAATCACCACTAGAACCACAACATCAAAATTCCTATTCGTCTCAATCAACAGGTGATAGTAGTTATCCTACTATGAACAATGGTCATGAGATGAATACTAAACTTTCTCCAATGAACCCAGCATTGAAAACATCTACAGGAAATATTTTAGATGAACTTGCATTGACACACGATAAACATGATTCTAGCAAAAAGATGAACGTTTTTGAAAGACTCTTTCGAGGCCATAAGAAGAAAGTTTAATTGTAGTGTAGATATTAAAAATAATAGAAAAAGTTAAACAAAAAAAAAAGACATATAAATATATATTATAATAATTATTGGTTCTCCTTTTATTCTATCTGCGCATAAAGATGTCCGTCCTTGAGAATGACTGATAATTTTCGAATATGCGCATGAAAATTATTCTACCGGTTGTAAAATAATTTCCTTATTAGAAAATATCTTTGAAAGGAGAACTGTTTTTCTTGTCTTGTAGTTTGTCTGTTTGTTTCAATTATTCTGTTTAACCTGACTTGTCTCTATCTTTGATGATCAGTTTTTTTTCTCTTCATGTTTGTTCTTTCTTTTTTTGTGTTATTTTTGTATGTTATAAGCAGAAGATATTTATCATTTGCTTCGAATTTAGATTAATAAATGAGTCGGATGAAACGGATAGTGACTATCATATGCGAGATTTTTTTATAGATTTAAAGTTTATTGCGATGAACCTTCGATTGAATTTGACTTAGAAATTATTGGTAGAAATGTTAGTAGTTGTGGAAAAGAAGAAGTATACAACAGGATGACATAATTCTCTGTTAAATTCATTGTTTTCCTTCAATCATGATGAATACACTAATTCCACGATCGAAAGAGTGGTGTGCCAAATTAGGAACCTGAATTCACTGAAAACCTGTATCTAATTTTATTAGCTTGAGAATCATCATTGAATTTTCATTGGACACTAAGAAAGATCTGAAGCACTCTCGGGAAGACTTAAAAACAGCTATTGTCCCCAAGGTCCATGAATATTCGATTTATACTGTTTGAAAATAGGCCACTTCGGTACAGAATGTTTTTGTCTATCAGAGTATCCACATAGAAATTATTCTGTTTGAAACTATCAAGTATCAGTCAAGCAATGGCAGAAATTCGATTCCGATAAGAAAATCTTACTGGTACACCTCGAAAAACTACACTTAATAAAATTGAGAATAGTATTATTTCTAATTGTATGACTCTATCGGGACGGTATTTTGAATTTATCGAGAGAAAAAACATTGAATATCTAAGTCGTTCTTATATATTCTGATAGAAAAAAAGCATTGTGCATCGAACTGACCTATTTTCAAGCAGTATAAATTGAATATTCATGGATCTTTATGGAAATATGACTATCTATATTAAAGCCAGAACAAAAAAGTTTTTTCGGCCCATGAGAGGGAATCCAGGTGTTAAAAATTGAATTTTTATAAAATACACAACAAAATTGTGGAAAACAATTCAAATTCAATGATGATTTTCAAGCTAATAAAATTATGTGCAAAAGCTATACAAATGCAATGGTATGTCATTTTTCAATTTGATAGACGGTTACTTTCGAAGGATGTTTTTCTCTTTCTGTTGGCTTTTCTATTCTGAAATAATTCTCATTCAGATTCTGTGAATAACTCAAGAAAAAAGTCACCTCTACTATTGAAAATGAAGGTAGCTTTCTTGATTCATTTCCATACGTGCTGAGATGCTGGAGGTTCCGAACCGGCACTTCCACCCTCGCTTTGAAGTGCGTATTTGCCATTGATGTGCCATCAACTTCAATGTCAAAGAGTTCAAATCGTGATGAAGAGTTATAGTATTGTTTTATTATAATCAATGGATCATGAATTAAGTACTATTGAAACAGAACTTTTGTTTTTAATAAAATTGTTTACCGAAGACTAATTCATCAACAAAATCCTTATCGAGCGAGTATTTCTCATTCCGATCACGAATATAAATTATGCATGGATCGAGAGAGTCAGAAACAAAAAGCTTTTCTATCAAATTAATTATAGAGGAAATAATATTAATCCATTTAGCCTAGTATATGTTTTCAATGAAATATTTTCTAGACAAGTTTCAGTGGTTATTTTTGACAGTTGATGAGAAAAAAACATAATGAACTTCCGACAGGCCCATCTTTGTCAGTATAGTATAAATGTTATAAAATTTGTAATTATTCTCAATTAATCATATGACATTGTGATAAGTACTAAAATGTGGAAAAAAAATAAACGTGGATAAATTGAACAGCAGATTTTTCGGGTATTATCTGCTCATCGTTCGTAAGAAAGAAAAGTCATAGTAGCCATCGTGTACGCCTTAAAAAGCTCTATTGTTTAATTTATATTGAAAACCAATGTTCTATCGTTATGTTTGGATATCTGAGATTTCGAAAAAATATAGCTCGATGCGAGAAAATATTTGAAAAATAAAATTATTTTTTCATACATTCTTTGTAGAGAATTGCACTGGGAATTGTTTGGTAAAAAAAGACACTCTCGTCGTGTTCAAGAAAGACGAGAAAATTCAAAAATACTAGCAGGCCAATTTTTTATGGGCCACCCGTTATATATAAGTTTTGTGACATGGTTTACTCTTATAGACACCATATTTCTATAATCATTGATCAAGATCCAAATATTTTATTAAATCAGCCATAGAGAAAAAACTATCAGATCCGTTTTCGTAACAGATTTATATTACATATAGTTTAGGTTATTTTTCTGCTAAAAACAGCTGGCTTTTTTCCTCTTATATTTTTTACTGATGACCTCGATAAAACATACTACAATTATATGCATGACGCTAAGCAGGCATTTACATATATATATATATATATATATATGTATGTGTGTGTGTGTGTGTGTGTGCATGTCTGTCGAAGTAATAATAGTTGTTGTGTTAGAAAAATAACAAGAGATCGTAGTGCAATTGCTCGAGGGAAGCGTAAATAGAAGAGACGGCGAAAGAACAGAGAAATAATGATGCATGACTCATAATGGTCATAATGGCTTGGCATTTAGCCACCAGCTGTCTTTTTTTTTTGCTTTTTTTTATATTATATATTCTTTTCTTTTGCTATGATTCAATTATCTATTGTCTACGAAATGTTTTTGCTAACGTCGCCGTTTGTTTTTCTCCTCTTAATATGGTCGTTTCATTAAATATCTTTGTCTTCTATGACCTAAATAATATGATAATGCAGATATGCCGGCTTTGTCTTAGGTTTTCTTTCTTACTCTGTGAAAAGTGGCGGTAGTAGTAGTAATAATAGTAGAATTAGTAGCGGCAGTAGACTTGCTTGACGTCGTCGTATTCGATCATAAGGTCGCATAGCAAAGCAAGAACGAGAGAAAAAAGAAAGAGAAAAAAGAAAAGAAAAAAACAAGCGCGCTTTTGCTTCGTGCCCGGCAGCTTGCGCGCGCGCGCGCGTATGCGAGTAGAAAAAAATGCGTATAAGAGCACGCATCTGATGGTGAGAGGGAGTATGTGTATAAGTGTAGGGATGAAGCGGGCAACGGAGAAGGGTAAAAAAGAAGGACATGAAACAGACCAAAAGTGCGCTTTATGTTCGCACACCATCATCATCGTCACAACCAACCACACACGTGTGTTGTTTGAGACAGAGCAATTTTTTTCTCTTTTTCTTCTTTATTCTCTTTTTTTTTCAGAACATTTAAATAACATTCGATCATATCGACAATATTTTCCGTTACTGTTTTCTACGAATAAAATTCATGTCATTCTACTATTATTTATCGAATTCTATTGGTTACAATCATTGTTAAAGAATTTTTTGTGCCATTTGTTGTTTTGGAATTGAAATTATCACACATATAAAGGTATTGTATTTGAAGATATTCAGTCGGAGATTATAGACATTGACTAGAAGTAATATCCTATGTTATTATTTTTTTTTTTTGTATATAAATACATTAATTTCCGATAAAAACTCGAGTACAAATGTAATATTGAACAATAGAAGTGAGTATTCACTTTTCAAAAACTATAGTCTCTAGTTTAAGTAGTTTGATCTTTTTTTATGTATCTTCCTTGTAATTAAAAATCTTGATCATCATTTTTTTTTTTTTTTTTTTTTTTGAGGCTAAGATTGAGTTAAAGAACATTTTTCTTTCGCCTTATATTAAAAAGTAAAGAGTACCGGCTGATAGACCCTATTTAAAGAATTTAAAAGACGTAATTAAGTGAACTTTCATTTCTATAGGGCATTTCTTCTTGAAACAATCATTTGTTTTAAAGATTAAATATCTACTATAAAAAAAAAGATGCACATGTGTCGGTTGACTCATGTTAGTGTAGTGCGCAAAGGCTGATAGGTTATCAGCAGTAAGATTTATTTCATGTTTATTTGTTCTAGTTATTTGAGAAATCATATACGTTTGATTGAAAAATAACAAGACATTGAAGAACAAAGTAGGAAATTTTTCTTTTAGTTAATTTATTCGGACCCATTATCTGGAATTATATAGTTGTACGTCATTTTGTTTTGTTATACCAGATGTTCCTGTTGTTGTTATTGTCGAAGAGTAAGACGAGAATATTCGCATTGTTTTTTAACATTCCGATGTTTTTCTTCCTTTTATTGTATTACTGACTCGTTTGATTGATGCATTTGATAGCGAAAAGATTTGAGATTGTAGAACTCCATGACCTGCTTTTTGATTGGCTTTCCATTTTTTTTTCAAATAACACAATATTGCATGACTAGTTTTGCCACATTTAGTAAGAACACCTTGTTGATAATGAAGGAACAAGCGACATAGTTTCGAAAAAACAGATGACAACGCTTAATCGATTATATCATGCGTAAGAATCATCGAAATTGTAATTACTTAGGTATCTATCTATGTTATACGATAAATAGGTAGAAAAAAATTACCATACATACGCGTGCATGAGTCATCATACACACAACTATTTAATTACATTGGTAGTTGCCAAAATTTTATTTTTTGTTTCTTTTCTTCACTTTTTTACCTTCTAAGCACATCGTCATCGCATCGTGTCTTTAGAATAGATACGCGAAACATGCTTGACACGTTTACTCTTATGATGATAAGAGACCCAATCAAAATAAGCAGCTGCATGATGAGAAATAGCGAGGAAAACACACACACACACACACGAGTCAATATGATGGACTAACTGATTATTTGAATTTTAGTTTTATTTTAATCGTATTTTTGTTTTCTAGATTATCTTCGACAAAGTGCATTTGTTTATTAATTTATATTATTTACTTATCCTCGCATATTAGCGAGGTATAGAATGCGAGAATGAGTTTTACATCAGACGAAGTCAATTATCTTATTTATCGATATTTATCTGAATCAGGTATTATTATTTTCTATTTTCTAGATCATTTTACAAATGTCTCTCGTGACCTTTCGTTAGTTTTTTTAAATTTTTTTATCAATTTCAAGATAAATAGTTAGTAGAAAAAGGAAAAACAAATAAATAAAAATCTTGACAGACAAGTATGCTTTTAAGCATGAAGGTGAAATCATAGCAGATGAAGGAAAAAAGAAACTAAGAATAGCATTGCGTTATAATAATAATCGAGTTGTTACTTATTTAGAATTTACATGTATCTAGCTTTTGACCTCTTGTACAGATGACGTCAATCTATAAATAGTTCCTATTTTCTGTGTCGCCATATTCAGTTAATTGAATTTCTGTTTTGATATCCTTTTTTGGTCCGTCGCAGTGCTGTCGCCATCATTTGACGTTTTCCAGCTGTATACTTGAATGATATGACAAAGAAAAATCTAGAACAATTTTATTTTTCTAATATAGGATTTGTTCATTCATCCTATTTATTTGGTCTTGAAAGTCATATTGTTCAAACATCAATTAATGCTAATATTGTACCACCAGGTGCTCTTCTTTCACTGATTCAAAAAGGCCTTTATTATACTGAAGCAGAACTCTCTATTGGTGATGTATGTCTATACTTCTTCAGATAGAGTCGATGCATATTGTTGAATTGTTTTGTTTCTATAGGATGGTCAAGACCGAACTTGTGATTCATTGAGTTTAATTGATGCTGTCGTTCCTGAAATTGTCGAAAATCGTCGTAAAGAACTTCAACAACAATCTTCCTCATCTGGAACAAGTGTAAAAAATGAAACAAAACTATCGTCAAGAATACCAACAACAACAACAACAACAACAACAGCAACAACAGTATCGAATATAAATGATAAAGATATTTCACCAATGCATCAGCCAACAAACACATCTCCACAATCAACAAATCAAAATATGTCTGATCGTACCATGGATACACCAACAACGTCTAATGGTGGAAATAATTATGGTACTATTTCTTTCACATATAATTATTGTTTAATATGAAAAAACATAAATAAATAAGTAAAACAATTTTCTTTTTGTTTTTTAACAGGACATACACATTCATCATCATCATCATCGTCACATTCTAATGCACTTCAATCTTGCACACCAGGTAATTATGCTCAAATGCTAAATGGTAATGATAATACTACACATTCATCCTATGCTAATAATACCAATCATATAGCAGGTTTATTGAAGAGTTTTTACAGAGGAAAAACATCTCTATCTGACCTTTTTCTCTGTTTTAGTTCCTAAACACGAGCCAATGGAGTATGAAACAAGTAATAATACTCATCATCATCATCCTCATTATCCAGGAAATTCAACACCAAATTCTCTTTCTGTCCAAACCGGTTCATCGAATACAAATATTAATTTAACTATCAATGGTTCTGTTGAAATTCCACAAAGTCGTGTTACTGTTTTACGTGGCCATGAATCAGAAGTATTTATTTGTGCATGGAATCCAACGCATGATCTATTGGCATCTGGTTCAGGTGATTCAACAGCTCGTATATGGAATTTGCAAGGTACACGTGAACCTGAAATTGTTCTAAGACATTGTATTAGACGTGGTGATACGCAAGTACCGAGTAATAAAGATGTTACAAGTTTAGATTGGAATGTAAGTTATTTATCAAAGAAAAAAGAAAATCCATCTATGTTATTTATTTCAGCCATCTGGGACACAATTAGCTACGGGTAGTTATGATGGTTACGCACGTATATGGTCGTCTGATGGAAATTTAGTCAGTACACTTGGTCAACATAAAGGACCTATATTTGCATTAAAATGGAATAAAAAAGGAAATTTTATTCTATCGGCTGGTGTTGATCGTACAACGATCATATGGGATGCAAATTCTGGTCATTGTGAACAACAATTTTCATTTCATACGGCGCCAGCACTCGATGTTGATTGGCAATCAGATACAACATTTGCATCATGTTCAACAGATCAAAAAATTCATGTTTGTCGACTAGGTGAATTACGAGCTATTAAAACATTCCACGGACATCAAAATGAAGTTAATGCTATTAAATGGGATCCACAAGGACGTTTACTTGCATCATGTTCTGATGATATGACATTAAAAGTAAACAGCAATGAAAGTAATCATACTCGACTGTATTTTTTTTGTTTTTATTTAGATCTGGAGTATGTCAAAAGAAACACCTGTTCATAATTTACAAGCACATAATAAAGAAATTTATACAATTAAATGGAGTCCAACTGGTCCAGGAACAATGAATCCAAATGCAACATTACTTTTAGCAAGGTATTATTTAACGAAAAAATTTTTTTTTTATATCTTTAAATTTTACCTATATATAGCGCATCATTTGATTCAACTGTACGTTTATGGGATGTTGAACGTGGTGTTTGTCAAAATATACTTGTAAAACATTCAGAACCTGTTTATTCGGTTGCTTTCAGTCCAGATGGTCGTTTATTAGCAACTGGTTCATTTGATAAAGCGATTTATATTTGGGATATTGCAGTAAATAATTTCAAATCATATTTGATAGTTATGATCGCTTTTTTGCTTTTTTTTTAGCGAGGAGAAATTGTTCATAGTTATCGAGGTACAGGTGGTATTTTCGAAGTTTGTTGGAACAGTCGAGGTACTCGTGTTGGTGCAAGTGCTTCCGACGGAACAGTAAGTTTTAATTGATCGATAAAAAAAAAGAATTCTTTCTTCTTCTTCAGGTGTGTGTACTCGATCTACGTAAATAATAAAAGAAACGATTCGAATGAACTATGATTAAACATTAGGTCAATGTGTTGTCGTTTTTTTTTTGTTTACTTATACAAAAAACAAAATTTCCGTATTGTTGTTATCTGTTGTTTTGATCATCATCATCATCATCCCTCCTATCAACGACGATCTCATAGAATTTTGTTCATCTTCTTGCACATGTGTATTTTGTTTGTTTCTTTTCTTTTTCGAAAAAATTCAAAGCAGTGATATGTATGTAAGTGTGTTTCTGCGTGTCTGACTTTATTTCTCTCTCTCTCTCTCTCTCTCTCTCTTTCTCTCGGTTTTTACATGCCCTTATGTATGTGATGATGATGATGAACTCGTGTTCCATTATAAATATTTCATACGAGTATACATAGATGACGACAAACAGACACAGAAAAACAAAAATCTAATGTGAACTTTTTGTTTGTCAATTTTAATTCTCATATATCAAATGTCTAAAATCATGACTTTTCACCCACGTTACACCTGCATGATGCGTTATGAGACTATTTATTTGGCATAGAAAGGAGTGTGATTTCCATAAAAGTATGATGGGATCGACAGGACTGCATTATTTCATATTGGTACTTTTCAGGTAAACTTTTAACATCGATTCATTTTTTTATTCTATGTCCTGCCCTTAATTCACTAGTGTATTGATAGTTCGAGCTAAATGCCAATTATGTGATGGCTTGCCTGAATATGCTTCATGTTCGACGCATTCTGCGTGTGCCTGTTTCCGTATGATTGCTTCTTCTAACTCAAGCATTTGTGTCGATCAATTTCTGCTGTCTTGCTCTGAGCTAGTTCAATGCGAAGATTTATTAAACAATATTTGTAATGAATTCGAGCATGTGTGCCTTAATCATTCTCGATGTCATGATTATCCTATTTGCTATCCGGTACCGAGTTTCAATGAACAATTCTGTCCGCCGATAAGTAAGAGCAACAAAACAGAAACGCCGAGGGTGTGGAGGTGTGGGGGCGTGGGCGTCAGTGAGGATATGAGTATGAGTGTGGGTGCGAGTCTCCGCTAACCAATCACCCACGCCCACACCCACACTCTGAAGTGTTGAAATGGCTTCAGCAAAACCCGAATTTGAATAGTGTTAAACTACTTCCAAGCAACTTCTCAATTAATATTTATGTTCTAACTTTCTGATCCTCACAATACCCACAGGTGTTGAGATGCTGAGGTGCCAGGGTGTTGGGTGCCATCACTTACCCCCTGGGTTTCATTGTGCCGGTGGATGATTTTGTAGGTGTTGATCTTTTAAATCATATATTGATAGGAAAAAAACTATTTGAAAGACAAAGTAGATAGTTGGTAGAGAAATAGATTTTCTGTCCGACAAGCTCAGAATCAGATCTTAAGACAATGATCAAATCCCCGAAAGGCAGAAAACAAAAGTT